AAGGAAGTTATCTGTCTGTTAGATCTGATATGTGCTCAGGCCAACATAGATTCTTTACCCTTCCTTTCTTCCTGCTCAACTATCCTTCCTCTTTTATCTTTTCATTGAATTAAAAAGAAAATTATGAAATAGTTTCAACATGAAAAAAGGTACAGAGAATAACATAAAGAACACTTCTGGCCAGGCGTGGTGGCTCATGCTTGCAATCCCAGCACTTTGGGAGGCCAAGGCAGGCAGATCACTTGAGGTCAGGAGTTGGAGACCAGCCTGGCCAACATGGTGAAACACTGCCTCTACCAAAAATACAAAAATTAGCCAGGCATGATGCATGCACCTGTAATCCCAGCTACTTGAGAGACTGAGGCAGGAGAATTGCTTGAATCTGGGAGGGGGAGGTTGCAGTGAACTGAGATCACACCACTGCACTCTAGCCTGGGTGACAGAGTGAGACTCCATCTCAAAACAAACAAACAAAAACACTCCTGTGCCATCATCCATCATTTTGCCATGCTGACTCCAGGTTCTATTTAAGAAATAAAACATTACAGGTACAGCTGATGCCACCTCTGTTTCCCTAGCTCTTTCTTCAAAGGTAACTCCTGTCTTGCAGTTGGATGTTTTAATCCTCTATATCATGTATACTTACATTCTATGAATAACACTATTTGGTACTGGCCTAAATGTGTTCACATTGTGTAAGTGTGCATAGTGGCCTGCCACTTCATTCGGAATTATGTTCTTGAGATTTATCAGTGTTGATACATGTGGAATCTGGTTAATTTTTGCCATAGTATTCTATTTTTATACTAAACTTTTAAAAATTCATGCTTCTAGTCTTTGGCTTATTTTTTCAGGTTATGGTGTGTTTTGTTGCACAGAAAAGTAAAATTAAGTCATGAGCAAAATATCTGGGTAATCCAAGCTTTCAACTTGATGCTGAATTTGAATTGTGTGTATTTTGTGAACCCTGTGATGTCAATCCATGCCTGATGGTGTAACTCTAACCAATATTCTTTTGAAAATGGAAATTTGTATTGACTACAGATTGCCAATATTATTAGTGAATACTGAGCACTTAATCTCAAATAAAGAGCTAATTTAAAAAGGATTCTAACAATGGCATTGAATGTTCCACCTTACTACTTATGGGTGGGTTGAGCCAATGTTTCTGTTAGAGACCAAAACCAAAAACAGTCAAGTTAAACAAGCAATCAAACCCAACATACAGACTACTGATAAGGAGGTCATATCATAAGATATGGCATTGAATTGGTGTCTGCTAATGTAAAGGTCTGATGCCCACAGCAAATTTAACAGGGACCTATGTTTACATCCATGGTCAACTACATTCCTGGGTTAAACAGTCGGGCTGTAGGCCCTGCTGTGTGCCTGGAGTTTTGCTGAAGTGTGGGGCTTTTAAGACAAGAAGAATAAACTTGCTTCAGAATTTGCTCCAGAGTTAAGAAATGTAAACTAAAAATCCTAAAGATTTTGGAAAAACTATTGCCCTTGAAGATTTAAATTTATTTGGGTGGAGAAGACATGTTATAAAAACAACAGACCCATTCACTGATTTGTACCCTTCAGGAGACAGATGACTGGTAATGGTGATAATGGGTGAATGTTGGGTTTGGGGTTTTTAGAAACATCTGCACTTGGTGACTACTGTATCTAATTGGTGTGATAAACCTGGCACCCCATGTGTTTGGCACCATCTTGGATCCTACTCAGGGCCAGGTGAACTGAGTGGCCTCTTCACTACTTCAGAGTCTGAAGCAGATTATAGTATGTGGACCAGACACAGAATGTACCACCAAGCACATTGGCGCAAAGTGTACTGGGAAGGGAGACTTTGTGAATGTGGTGCTGGTTCTCTAACCTCAGCGCTCAGAAGGATCTCCTGAGGATTCCTGGATCACACACTTAAACTTCTCATCCAGTAGGTCTCAGGTGGCTGAGAATCTGCATTTTTTTTTTTTTTTTTCCTGAGACCGAGTCTCACTCTGATGCCCAGGCTGGAGTGTATTGGCGCCATCTTGGCTCACTGCAACCTCCACCTCCCAGGTTCAAGCAGTTTTCCTGCCTCAACCTGCCTAGTAGCTGGGATTACAAGCGCATGCCACCACGCCCAGCTAATTTTTATACTTCTAGTAGAGAGGGGGTTTCGCCATGTTGGCCAGGCTGGTCTTGAACTCCTGACCTCAGGTGATCCACCCACTTTGGCTTCCCAAAGTGCTGGGATTATAGGCGTGAGCCTCCATACCCGGCCTGAATCTGCATATTTAACAAGCACCACAGGTGATTCTGATACAGTAGCTCCCCAAACCTCATGGTGTTAGTGAATCCCAGTCATTCACAACTGCCATGATTTTGGTCATATTCAAGTGCAGCTGGTACCATTTTTAGTTGATATATTTTTAAAATAAAGTCACTTCTTTTGGATAATTAAATTTAATTACAAGGGAAGCTATACCACTGCTGTAAAAACATCACCTGCTTTAAAGAGAATGTGCATAATGAATATACATTAAGATAAAAATGTGTATGTCTGTGTGCACATATAAGCATACACATATCTACCATAGGGAATGAGTTTTCCTTCAGGTTTTTCAACTTAAATGTCAACTTTGAGGTCAGTTAATATGTGTAAGATATATGTGTGTATATATGTCTATACATATAAGCCTATACATAAATACATGAATACATATAGTATATCTGTACACAACCTATTATGCATATCATGTATATTTCATCCACTTAGTATTATCTTTTATTTTGCAGTTTGGCAAATGCTCAGTAAAAGAAAAGGGTTAGAAGGGGAGAAAGGCATTTTATCCCAAGCCTTCAGGAATTAGAATGAGGATGTCTGCACCTTGCGGTGAGGAGTAATTATACTATTAGAGACAGCACATTGGAGTGTGGCTGATGTGCTGTGTGATGGTAGTTGTAGTCTCTGCCTAGCAGAGGAAGGACATTTCAATAGAAGAAAAAGTTCAAGACCTTGCCGAGAAACAGAGAAAGGATTTTTGTCTTTTTAAGAACTTGAAAACCCTGTTTGCAGACAAAAGCCCTCCGGTTTTGGCAGTAAACTTTCATGCAGGGGAAGAAAAATGCAGGGGATGACATTGTTGACAATTGTGAGCACTCACCATGCGCCAGGCACTGTGCGAGGGGCTTTGTACATAGCCTCTAGTTTTAGTGCTCATAAAAACTCTGTGATATGTGCACAGCATTTTAAACTTTGCTGTATAGTTGAGAAAATGGAAGGATGGGGAATTTGAGTCATTTGCCCAGGGTTCTATAGCTACCCCAGGTTCCCATGACTGGAGAATTGGGGCACAGGGTGGCAGGGGAGAGTGAGTGACAAGAATCGTAAGAATCTTATCTCCATTCAGTCTTTATAAAAGAAGTGGATTAACTACCACATTTTGTTTTTACTTAAATTGACATTACGTCAGTCGGGCATTTCTTGTTTTGTCTGGGGTTTGTTTTGTTTTTGCTACACAATCTTGAACATCTGTCATCTTGTAGGCCTAATGTTAAACACAAAAACACTTTACCTCCTATAGCTTTCAATTAAGATCTCTCAGTTTGTGTTTGTAATAGTTTTTCAGGCAAGGTCTCCGTAGGTTCGGCTTCTAGTGTGTTAACCTTTAGTTATAAAGTGAACCCAAAGAGAGAAAGTAGAAACAAAACACCTCACCTGTTTTTGCTCATGAATTACCTTCTATGGAAGGGACAATCATGAACACCTCTGTGTATCACAGAGGTCTACATGAATCTGGCATTTAAGGGAGACCACGTGGGTCCCTTTGAGGACTGTGAATGTGGGAATACTGGGACTCTGGTGAAGAACCCGTTGCAGAAGAGATGAATCAGCTGGACAAGTTCTTTCATAGAACCTTTAGGCAGGTTTTCTCAGAAATGCACATTCAGGATTATGCTTGATCAGAATGATACTCAATCCCTTCTGCATTTGGAGTTCTCTTTAAAAGAAAACATCCCAGGCTGCTATTTCTCAAGAGATAGTGAGTCCCAACCACTTCTAGACATTTTCTTGTGTAGTCTACATTATAATTTCACAGCAGTCTCTGATAAAATGTGAAGATAGCCCAACCTTCTCTAAACTTCAGAGATGTCTGATATGATATTGAATAAAACAATGCTCATAGAAACATCAAGAAAGGTAGATTTTCCCTGGATACTTTTTTCCTACTTGACAAATAAGAATGATGAAACTGACTCGTCTTTTTCTCTTTGGAAGCCTGAACACTCAGAACCCAACTTGAGGCTCCTCAGCTATAGCAATTCTGACTTCATAGTCTGTAAATTATTGTTCTTTTTTTTCTTTAGCTTATGCTTTCTGCCCTAATTTATCTTTTCCCTGTTCTAATGAATTATTGTCCTGTATCTGCTATGCAGTTAGGTGACATATAACAGCAATTAAATATATGAATTGGTACATACAAAGATTTGACTAAAACTCGGTGTAAAACTAAGTGTTCTACGTTAAATTTCCTGTGTTAGAAACAGTGCTGACTTGAACAGAGTGACAGAATTCCATCTTTCCCTATTTTTGACAGCTTTAAACTTTATAGTTCCTTCCTTTCTTGTGAGCCATCATTAACTTGTTTCTCAAAGCCATTCCCATATTACCCATCTTGCGGACTCAGACAGATTTGGGAATTTGCGGTCAGAGTTGTATTGGACACATCCCCCCGCCCACATGAGATCCTTTTTATCTATTACGTATTAACTAGTTTTAGGTACAATATTCCTGCTTCGTTTAAAACCATTACTCAAACAATGAGTTTGAAAATAAACAAAATGCAAACTTACAGTTAGAAATAATTGTAGTGTCTTTAGTGTTGGTTAGGAGTCGGTTTCTTGTTTGTTAAACTCAAGATTGTGAACAGTTTTAATTCACTTGTTTATTTCCAGTAGAGATTTCAGGTTTACATTTGAACTCAAAAACAAAGTTTTCTTTCTCATTACAGAGAGGACTAAACTCTTCATCTCCCCTGCCGAGCAAGGAGCTGGCTGAAGCCACAAAAACATTGCTGCATAGTCTTGGGACTCTGGCCCAGGAGGTAAGTTGCGTCTTTCCAGTACCAGAAAGCGGACCGTTCGCTGTATCATTTTTTTCATTTCCTGAGTTTGGCAAGAGGTCCTTTGGATTTGAATATCACATGGGATGTAATACCAATTTTCAAAGTATAAGTGATGTAGAAAATAATGTTTTGATTTCCTTATTTTAGAAATGAAGCAACCAAAACGCATAGATGTCTCAGAGCTAGTTAATGGCTAACAGCTGGATATCTAGGTTAGCACCTTCTCCCTTTTTTCTCTTTGCCCCTAGGTAATCATACATTTGTAAAGAGGAGAATTATCTCTGTCACCACTCATGCACTGCTTTTGTCTGACCAGCAACTTCTTCATATTGCTTCTTCAGTAGCAAGGCCAATCATTTTACCAACGCACATGCTTGCTAACTAACAGGAATAACATGGTGCCCCTATTTCAGCCCTTTCCCTTGTAGGCATCTGGCTTCTGAGGTTCAACTGTGGGAATATGATCTCTTAATGAACGTTAAGTTGAGTTTGCCTTTTAGGTCCACATGTTGACAAATATATCAGAGTAATCTCTGTCCTAGGATCAGAGGGCCTGTAGGCACTTGTAAAAGCAGTTAGCTCTGACTCACAGTCAGTGCACACTCCACTTTTCTGACTCCCAGCCTTGTTTCAAATTAGACTTGGAAGCGAGGAACTGTCTGGTGTCCCCCTGCATAAGAAGCTGAGCCAGGGGGCAGTGGTCACAAACAATACAGACTTAAACTTATAGGATATTGGAAAATAATAATTTGTGGGGAAAATGTCTCAGACTTGGTCCACCCTTATTTTTAGCTGCTTTCTAATTCATTTTTCCTTTCTTGGTGCTTGTATCTAACCTACCCATTTTTTGGTGCTTGCATCATTTTTTTCAAATATCAAAATGAACTTTCTGTTTTCTAACAATGAAAGTATTGCCTGTTCATTGTGGAAAATGCAGAACACTTGGAAAATACCAAAAATGCTGAGATTAAACACTATTGACCCCTTAGTGTATTTCTTCCTGTCCTGTTCTATTTTCTTTCTTTGATTTCTGCTCACGTGTTTCTGACTGACGAGGTTTGACTTTTGGGTTCCCTTTCCAGAGGAGAAGCCTTCTTTCAGCTTGCCATTTGTTACCCTGGTTATGAAGGCTTGTGACCTTTTTTACTAGGTAGAGAAGCTGGACCAACTAGGGTTTTTCCAGGGGGGGAATGAGAAGGATAAACTGTTTTGCAAGTCTGTAGCTATTTCTCTAGGGCCCTGTTAGCTGACATTGACATGCCTTGCCTTGCTCTGCAGATCCCCTCCCAGCCCTCTGTCCCTTGTTCATTTCTGGCCTTAGAGAAAGCAAAGCAGAGGCTGTAACGCAGGAGGATGCCTCTAAATTCAGGGTTTGGTTACAGCTGTTTTCACTTACATCACTGGCCCTGTTTTTTTTTTTTTTTCTGGCATTTAAAAAAAAAAAACTTGGAAGCAGGTGATGTCCCCATTGCTGATGTGCTGGAGACTCTCCAAGTGAACAATATACATTTTTCTTGGCAGCTGCTTCTTGTGCCCTGCTTGCTCCTGGTCCAGGACAAGCAAGGACCATCTGCTTCTTTCAATAGAACACCTCCAAGTCCCTTTGATCACAAGTTACTCGTTGTCTAACTTGCTATTTCTGTGAGACAAATGGGAGAAGATCAGTAAATGCCCTTGTTTGTCCGGTCAGTGTGTGGAAAGTTGATAATTTTGACCAAAGCACAACCCTTGAAAGGAAAAGAAAAAGGGAGTGAATGTCTTCTGAGGAGCTGTCTTGGTTTAGGCAGTGTCGCCCATTCCCCTGTATACTCCACATGACAAACCTGAGTAGGTCTCATTGTGTCCATTTTGCAGATGGCACCAAGGCTCAGAAAAGTTAGGCAACTTTTCCAGTCACCCAGTGAGTTAATTGACAGAACTGGGATTTGAACCCAGAATTGTTGGATTCCAAAGCCTGTGTTGTTGCCTGCTTCGTGAAAAACTCCAGTAGCAACTGGAATAGAAAGGAGACCCTTCCAAGAAAGAAAATATGCACTGGCAGAACCTGGAAATTGGGAGGAAATGAGGACTTGAGGAATAAGATGAATGAAAGCTGACATGAGTTTCACATCTGGGTGATGGGAAGGGAGGACAGGGAGGCAGCATCTCAGATGTCCACCCAGCACCGACCAGCTGCCTGGCATTGCTAGGTGTTGGGGACTTAGCAGTGAACACGCTAACTTCTCTGCTCTCTTGGGGCACATATGGAGTGAGAGACAGAAACAAACAGGTCAGTGTACAATGCCACAGGAGGGATATATGCAGTGAAGAAAAAGCAGGGTAAGGGGTATAGAGCATGAGAAGGTGCTATTTTAAAGGGGGTGATTAGGGAAGCCCTCTTGTGACAGTTGAACCTGAAGGAGATGACAGCATGGCTGTGGAGAGGGAGGGAAACTCCAAGCAGGAAGAATGGCAGATACAAAGACATTGATGCTAGAGCGTGCCTAAGGAATGTGGTTAAGGACCAGGGAAAGTGAGCAAGTGGTGTGGGGAGGAGAGGAGCTCAGAGCAGGAGGAGGTGAGTTCCATACAGGCCTGGCAAGACTTTGGATTCCTGCTGGGTGAGATGGGAATCCAGTGGAGGGTTTGAGGGAGGGGGACATGATGTGATCTAGAGTTTAGACTGTTTGCACTCTGGTTGTTGGATTGAGAAGAGACTGGGATGGGGGAACGGGAGGACAAAGGACACTGTGCTGGATTGAGAAAGCAGTAAATCAGTTTCATTCATTCACTCAACTGATGATGTTCAAACACCACCATTATCTGTGGGCTAAAGGATGAAGAGCCATCCCTCCCTGAGAGTCAGGGAGCCCTTCCCAGATAAAGTCTGGAGTGTGAGCTGAGGTGTCAGAGAAAGAGTAAGAGTTTGCCCCTAAAACGGGTGCTGGGAAGAGCCAATGGTTTGGAATAACTCAGTAATTTATGGTGCTTCTTTAGAAAGATTTGCTGGCTTTATGTGGGAAGAAATTTGTCTTTTTGATTGGGAAGTGGTGGGATGGTGGTGAGGCTGCCTTTGGAAAGAGAAGTGAGTGCTTTGACTCACTATTGTTTAAAAATCTCTAGGGCTGTTACAGGTTATGAAAAGATAAAGTTGGGAAAAGCTGTCCACGTCACCTAACTGGGTTCTTGTGGAGTGTGCTAGATGCCCCCTCTCTGGAGAAAAAAAATCCTTTTTCTCCGCCTCTGACCTGCCTCTGGAGAGCCTAGTTCCCATCGGGAGGCAGAAGGGGCAAAGCTTAGGACCTAGAGAGTGCTGGACCACACCACTTACAGGAACCAGCAGGCTGTGAGGTCGAAAGCTAGGCACATAGAGCTTTCCAGGCTGGGTGCAGGGCCTCGTGGCCCCTCCCCTCTGTGCTCTATAGCTCAGTCTTCCCAGGCGGTGTGAACATGCAGTGACATTTCAAGGAATGCAGGGATTTATTAATGATATATTGTGAAATGTTTGGAAATACAAAGTGCTCTATAAATATTTCATAATAGCATTGGGGCCGAGAACTCCACAAAGTGCCGGAATACATTTGTATGTAAGACAGAGCGCCGCCGCCCGGCTCATTGATGTTTGTTGAGTGGCAGTCACAGACGCACCCCTGGCTCCCTGCGGTTTCTGACTCACCCTGTTGGAGCTGTTCTCTGCAGGGCACCCTCATGTGTGGCATAGGATTTATGCCTTACCACACACTGTTTTAGCTTTCTTGTCTTGATGATGAATAGAGGGCAGTGTCCAGACCATGGTATAAGCATCTACTGCTCCCCAAGTCTACCAAAACCAAGCCAAGTTGTGTCTCAGCGAGCTCCGTGAAAGATGGAGAAGTTGAGCACTCAGAGACATGGTGTGACCTTTCAAAGACTATAAGCTGACGAGGTACATAGCTAGGGTTCAGACTCGAGTTTTTCTTTTTTTTTTTCTTTCTTTCTTTCTTGTTTTTGAGACGGAGTCTTGCTGTTGCCACCCAGGCTGGAGTGCAGTGGCGCTCTGCTTACTGCATCGTCTGCCTTCTGGATTCAAGTGATTCTCCTGCGTCAGCCTCCCTAGTAGCTGGGATTATAAGCACATGCCACCATGCCCAGCTAATTTTTGTTTTTTTAGTAGAGAGGGGGTTTTGCCATGTTGGCCGGGCTGGTCTTGAACTTCTGACCTCAGGTGATCCATCCTCTTCAGCCTCCCAAAGTGCTGGGATTACAGGTGTGAGCCACCGTGCCTGGCCTAGACTCGAGTTTTTCACCTTATGCTTTTTCATTGCCTGACACTTTACTGAGACTGAGATAGGGAACTTCACATACAGTACCTTTTCTCCCAAGGGGGACAGGGCTACTCAATTTCCACACTGGAGTTCGAGGAGTTTTAGAAGTGAGTCAGTTATCGAGGGTGAGAGCAGTTCCTGATAGGCTTAACAACACTCAGATGTAGCTGTTCATAAAATGCATTCTCATCTATAAAGTGGAAGATAATCCCAGTGAAACAAAGCCCAGCTCCAGGGGCCTTCACTAACTCCAGGCTGTGCTTCTCAAACTTTAGTGAGCATAGGAATCACCTGGGCATCTTGTGGGGCTGTAGATTTGAATTCTGCAGGTCGGCGGAGGGGTCGTAAAATCTGCGTTTCCAACAGTGTCTCCAGTAATGCTGATGCTGCTCGTCCCTGGACCACAGATTGGGTAGCCAGGTTCTGGCAAGCTCATGCCAAGGCTTTGAGATGACATCGGACAAAATATGTTCTGGGACATGGCTTTTGAGAGGTCAAGAAAATAAGATGTTTCTTTCTCTTCTCATCCCAAATCCTTGCACTGCCCTTTTCTCCCTTCCCCTACTCGCCTTTTTCTCCCTATCCCTGATGCCAGCTGTTCAGCATGAGAAGCTGGAGTGACATGCGACAGGAGGTGATGTTTCTGACCAATGTGAACAGCTCCAGCTCTTCCACCCAGATCTACCAGGCTGTGTCTCGTATTGTCTGCGGGCATCCCGAGGGAGGGGGGCTGAAGATCAAGTCTCTCAACTGGTATGAGGACAATAACTACAAAGCCCTCTTCGGAGGCAATGGCACTGAGGAAGATGCTGAAACCTTCTACGACAACTCTACAAGTGAGTGTCTGTGCAGACCCCAGACCCGTCCCCAACCCCGTCCCTACCTTAGTTCTGGCCTTTGCCTGTGTCGTCTCCTCCCTCTGTAGCAGCGTTAGATGTCTGCATGCCCATTTACCCACCAGACTGAGCTCCTCCTGGAGGAGAGAAGCTTCTCTTGATTAGCTGCCTGTCCCCAGTACTCTGAACGCAGCCTGGCACTTCTCAGGTGCACAGTAGTGTTTATCAATGGAATGAACGATTGACAGCCAGCCTCCTGGTTTTCTGAGGGATGTAGAAAGGTGGCTTCCAGAGCAGTCAAGAATGAGATAATGGCAGAGGGAGAAATCCTGCAAGATCTCACTTATGTATGGAATATATATAAGGTGTGCAAAGTGTCAGTTTCACATGATGAATAAGTTCTGAGATCTGATGTACATTGAGATGACTATAGTTAGTAACACTGTATGGTATACTTGAAATTTGCTGAGAGAGGAGATCTGAAGTGTTCAGACTACACAAAAAAGGTAACTATGAGGTGATAGATTTATTAACAGCTTGATTGTGGTGATCCTTTCACAGTGTATACATATATTAAAACATCACATTGGATACCTTAAATATACAATTTTTATTTGTCAGTTATCACTCAAAAAAGATGGAAAAACATTTTTAAAAAGGATGATATACTGGTTTTAATATTACCATCGAGATAAGCTTTATAATAACATAACAAAAACACAGTAATAATAGCAACAACAACAACAACAAAAAACTAACATTTAAGTAGAATTTCTTATGCACTCTGCGTTCTGTTTATCTCATTTTACCGTCATGATAACCCTGTAGGGAAGATTCTTTAACCCCACATTTCGTAGGCTTAGAGAGGTTAAGTGCCTTGGTCAGAGCCACATCAGAGTTAATCCACAAGAGCCAGGATTCAAGCCCAAATCTGCCTGGATCTATGCTCTCTAAAATAACTGTTAGTGGTGGTGTGTGTGTTCTCACAGTCAGATATTTGATCTGCTCTTTGTTTCCCATTCTTAGCTGCAAGGCAGTGTTAAAGAACCTTGTATCTCCATATCCACTCCCCACACTTAAGCACTTTTGTGGGCACGTGTGCCATATGCCTGGTGGCAGCAGGGATCCAGTGTTACAGTTTTAGGCAGTGGCATCCTTTTCCTTGAAAACTTGATGCAGGTGAACCTTTCTCCATTTCCAACCACAGGTGTGTCTTTCAGACACTGAGTGAGGCAGGTTTTGTAACACAAGAACCTTTTCTTCTCTGGAGTAAAGCACTCCAGACATTCGCAAGTTGCTTTACAAGCCCGAAGAGGATGGGATTGTAGGCAGCTTTAATGAAATCCCATCTTCTCCGGTCCCCCAGCTTGCAAGTTGACCCAAGGAAGCCTTCATTTCCATGACAGACGTAATTGTGAGGACAGCCTCATTAAAAAGAAAAAAATTCGATTATCTTTCCAGCATATAGAGGACACTTAGTATCTAAAAAACCCTGAAAAACTTTGAATGAATTTTTAAAAATCAGGGATCCTGCTAGATAATCAAACCCATTTGCCTGTTATGACTTTTGTATTTGGGTTTTTGTTAAGTGTACATATACTGCTTATGTTAATCAAAGAGAATTTTTTTTTTTTTTTTTTTTTTTTTGGGAGACGGAGTTTCGCTCTTGTTGCTCAGGCTAGAGTGCAGTGGCATGATCTTGGCTCACCGCAAGCTCTGCCTCCCGGGTTCAAGCGATTCTCCTGCCTCAGCCTCATGTGCCACCATGCCCAGCTAATTTTGTATTTTTAGTAGAGATAGGGTTTCTCCATGTTGGTCAGGCTGGTCTTGAACTCCCAACCTCAGGTGATCTGCCTGCCTTGGCCTCCCAAAGTGCTGGGATTACAGGTGTGAGCCATGGCGCCCTGCCCCAAATTTTGGTTTTTGCTTGAAAACTGAGGGCTGAAGTCAGCCTTCTGGTTGTCCCTGAAGAGTTAGTTTAAATGTTGGTCATGTTTTCAGTGAAAACAGTGGCAAGGCTGTCATGAGAGTGTGAATCTGGAGTTGTGAAGGCTTGTGCTTTGTGAAAACATTTTTCCAGATCAGCTCAGTTGTGAGTTATCCATCATTGATTTTATAATGAGCTCTGATTATTTATCAAGCTGCATTCTTTACAGATAATATCTCAGTTTAGTCTGAGGTAATCTTCTCCACATCTCTCAAAATAGATGTTATGAATTTTACTTTTACAGAGGAGCCAACTGAGGGTCAGATAAGTTACTTATTATATTAGTGGTAGAGCTGGAATTTGAACTCAGAACTGTCTGGCACCAAAGCCCTTGTAAGTTTCTATCAGTATCTGACCATGCATATGAGCATTTGTCTCTCCTATTCTTTGTAGCTCCTTACTGCAATGATTTGATGAAGAATTTGGAGTCTAGTCCTCTTTCCCGCATTATTTGGAAAGCTCTGAAGCCTCTGCTTGTTGGGAAGATCCTGTATACACCTGACACTCCAGCCACAAGGCAGGTTATGGCTGAGGTAAGCTACTCCCAGCCCAAGACTCCCACCCCAGAATCTTCCCAGAACTGGGGGCAAAAAACTCAAGGTAGCTTCAGAGGTGTGCACTAAGTATTTTTATGGCTCTTCTGGGATTCCCAGAGTGAAAACCTCAAGTCTGATGCCGACCAGAGCTGGGCCAGCTCCCCAGCCCTGGGTGTAGAATCATAGTTATAAGCAGGCATTTATTGGCGATGGGGGAGGACTGGCACAGGGCTGCTGTGATGGGGTATCTTTTCAGGGAGGAGCCAAAGCGCTCATCGTCTCTGCTTCTCCTCCTTTTTCTGCGGTCCCTGGCTCCCCACCTGACTCCAGGTGAACAAGACCTTCCAGGAATTGGCTGTGTTCCATGATCTGGAAGGCATGTGGGAGGAACTCAGCCCCAAGATCTGGACCTTCATGGAGAACAGCCAAGAAATGGACCTTGTCCGGGTGAGTGTCCCTCCTATTATTAGCATGTGCCTGCTTGATACTGGAGAGGTGAGTTTCTGGTCACTTTCCCAGGTGTGACTGAGGTGAGAATTCTTTCAGTTTATCTAGCTGGGGGAATGTAGTGAGCATAGCTAAAGTCACAGGGCACCACCTCTCCAGAAGTACAGGCCATGGTGCAGAGAAAATATTGTGCATATCAGCATCCATGCCACTCGTGGTCAAATAGCAGTTTTCTGCAAAACTTAGTGAGGGCTGGTGTTTGGAAGTAGAGTTGGGTAATTGCAGGACCCTGACTATTTTCATTTTTGGCTGCGGCCTCTCAGCCAGCCACAGCATCTTCTTTACCTCCCTGTGCCTTGGTAGGTTTTGGAAAGAGGTGTGGGACCAAAAGCATCATGTTACATGTAGACTGGCCTGAGAGACTCATTCTCAGGGCACTGTGTGAATGATGAGCTGCTGTTACTGTGTGGAGGGGAAATGCACTTAATGCTTCAGAGCCACTTGAAAGGGGTAAGTGCTCTAGAGACAATTGGATTGAAATGTGGAGCAGGCTGAGCAAGAACAGAATGTCTCCTTTGCCTGAGCCTGAGTGCTGTTTAATCTCATCTTCCTGCCTTGGGCTGAGTCGGAGAATCATTAGACTATTTCCTATTTCCATGGTGAGGGAGGCCTCTTCCTTTTGTCTCTGCTCCCTTTAAAAAGCAGGTGAGGATTTTGCCAGGTTTCTTGTTTTGAACCTTATTGACTTTAAGGGTAGCTGGGTTTTAAAGGCTGTATCTACCTGGAGGGAACACTTCCGAAGTTTAGTACTAGTCCCTGATCCGCTGGGAGGCAGGTTACTGAGGAAGTCCCTTTAAAAACAAAGGACTTTATACTGAGAAAAGCATAAACAGTGATTTGTATGGATTCACACTGACTAATAATAATAGCTCATGCCATTCAAGTGTGGGTCTCTCCTCTAAAGGAGGGTTATATGATCTAGCCATGTAGACCTAAGTGTGATTTCAGGCCTTTTCTTCCTGGTCGTCTTCTTCGAATCCACATTTCTACTAGTTGGACTTTTTCTCTTTGTCTGGCTCTCAGAGGATGATAGGAGGTCCGTGAAGTGACTCAGTGAGTTTTGATTTGTGGGCAAATAGATGCTTCCCTAGTCTGAAATTGAGAGCTTGCCTTAGATGCACCAACTGTTCACAAGTTCCCAGTTCTTAGAGGACAAGACCCTTGTAAACATGGCAGTGGCATTATTAGGAGTCTAGCTGGGAAAATCCAGTGTGTGCGCTTGGAAATGAGGGAGCTGGGGCTGGAGAGAAAGGCATGGGCTATGCCTTGGAGGGACTTGTGTGTCAAGCTGAGGACCTTTACTTTAAGCTCTAGGGGACCAGGCAGGGGAGATGTAGATACATTTCTCTGATGGGGTGGATGAATCGAAGGATGAGGGAAGAATGAAGGCAGAGACCAGGGAGGAGGCTCTCCAAGTGGCCAAGGCATAAAGCAAGAAGTGAGGCCTGGTGATGGCTTAGTTGTGGAACAGTGAAAGACAGGGAGGCATCAAAGCAAGTCTTGATTTCTGGATGGATGGATGGTAGGGATGTCCAGTAGGCCAATGGCTACTGGGGTCTGCTGTGGAGGAGGGTGGTTGGGCTGGCGATAGGTGATGAGGGAGTTGTCAGCCTGTGGGTGGAAGAAAAGGGAACCTTTTCCAACTGTTTTCTTCCTTCTCTCTCTCTCTCTCTCTTTTTTTTTTTTTTTTTTAAAAGACAGAGTCTTGCTCTGTCACCCAGGCTGAAGTACAGTGGCATGATCTTGGCTCACCACAGCCTCTGCCTCCCGGGTTCAAGCAGTTCTCCTGTCTCAGCCTCCAGAGTAGCTGGGATTACAGGTACATGCCACTGTGCCTGGCTAATTTTTTTATTTTTAGTGGAGATGGGGTTTCATCATGTTGGTCAGGCTGGTCTTGAACTCCTGACCTCAGGTGATCCACCTGCCTTGACCTCCCAAAGTGCTGGGATTACAGGCATGAGGCACCACGCCTGGCCTTTCTTCCCTCTCTTAAAGAGTGTTTATTTAATTCCACAAACATGAGCTTGTCACCCCCTGCAACCTGGCATCTCCTACACGAGGTGATGGCTGAGGCTTCTGCTTCTGCTGGGGGGTAGCTCTGATCTCTCTGGCACTGTCTACCCCTGTTGCCTCACCCCATCGGTCCCAGGGCACCTCTCTCGGGCGAGTCATGGAACCCTCTGACACTGATTTGCTCTCTTTTCTGAGCTGCTTTGCTCTCTTTTCTGAGCTGCTTTTAGCCCCTCATCCTCGGACCTTGATTTCTTGCTGCCTCCAGTCCCGCGGGCAGTCTTAGGTCTCCTGCCCTTCGCAAGCACCCTAGAGGGGCCACGTGCTCAGTGAGCTCAGTGGGCACATCTTTCTAGTCTTGCTGTTCTTTTTAGAAGCCTTACTGGGCAGGGCCGACTTCACCCTAACGGCTGCGTCTCTTCACTCTGCTTTTGTTTGTTCGCAATAAAGTGGCTTCAGAATTGCTAACCCTGGCCTCTGTGAACTTGTGAGGTACAATTTTGTGTCTGTTATGTTAACAAAAATACATGCATATCTTCCTGGTGATGGTATAAATTGCTGTTCTCTCCTGGAAAGCAATTTGGAATGAAAATTTCAAGAACCATTTGAAAACGTGCTATCCTGCATACCTCCATTCCACCCACCCCCAGGGATGTAGCCTACTGAAATAATTTTAAATAAGTCACCGTATGAGAGAAAATGTTATTGCTATATTGTTATTGTGAGAAATTGGAAATAGACTAAATGTTCAGCACTATAGGAATAATTAATGAAATTATATATACTCTATAAAGTCATTATGCTCTCATTAAAATAATAAATACAAAGCTGCAAATGGGGAAAAGCTTATAACGTTAGTGAAAATAAGACCGATTTTTTTATAAAGCAGCAGTTTTCAGACCCTTGGAGACTCCAGTTCAGTAGAACCAGGGCTTCATCTTCTCTCTCAATGCTGTGACAGGAGTTGCGTCTCCTTTTTGCTGAGTTTGCAGCTGCTGTTTTTCTGGCAGCACATCTGTGCAGGCCTCTGCCTCGGCCCCTCTGGATCTGCTGATAGAGCAGCGGATTGATCTGTCCTTCTCTTTCGCGTTGACCTATGTGAGGAACCAACCAGCAAGGGAACAAGAAATGGAAATAGGCCTCATTTGCATCATGACCTGTACGTCCTGCAGTTGGAAAAGATTGTACTTTAGTTGGTTTAACCAGCAGCATTATTTTTCTAAAGTAAGCAGTAAGAAGGAATTGAGTCTAGGGTTAGGGTTTTTATGTGGGATCAACAGACTGGATCTCAGAAGAGGAAGGTGATAGAACACAGTGTGGAGGGGAGGTGCACTGGAAACAGAGGGCTTATGCTTTCATTCTGGCTTTGCTAGTTAATAGCTGCGTAACCTTATCTTAGAGACTTAACCTCTCTGAACTTCAGTTTTCTCATCTATAAAATGGGAAATATTAAAAGGATACTCACTGTGCTGGTGGCTTGTGCCTGTAATCCCAGCACTTTGGGAGGCTAAGGTGGGAGAATCACTTGAGCCCAGGTGTTCAAGACCAGCCCAGGCAACATGGCAAGACTCTGTCTCTATGAAAAATTTAAAAATTAGCCAGGTATGGTGGTGTGCACCTGTAGTCTTAGCTACTTGGTAGGCTGAGATGGGAGGATCCCTTGGGTTTGAGAGGTCAAGGCTGCGGTGAACTGTGATTCCATGCACTCCAGCCTGGGCAACAGAGCGAGACACTGTCTCAAAATGACAACAACAACAAAAGGCAAGAAAATAAAAGTACCCTCTTCACGGACTTGTGTGAGGTGAAGCATATAAACTATTCAACATAGTAACTATATAAGGGAAGTGTTGTTGTTACTGTAGTTAATACTGTTAAGTGAGCTGTTTGGTATAGTGGAAAGCACGTGGACTGTGAATTCAGACTGGTCTGACTTTGAGTCCCAGCTCCATATCTAGTAATACTATGACCAAGTCCTCATTAAAATCATACTCTTTTTTCTTCAACCCCAGTCTTCTCACATATAAAATAGGGACACTGTCATCTACCTCACAGTTTTCTGTGAGGATAAAACAATGACAGTGTATATGAAGTATTTTGTAAGCTATATAGTGCTCATCAACATTTAGTTGGTGTTTACTTCTTGTGCTTTCTCACTGGAATGGCAGACGCTGTTGGACAGCAGGGGCAATGACCACTTTTGGGAACAGCAGTTGGATGGCTTAGATTGGACAGCCCAAGACATTGTGGCGTTTTTGGCCAAGCACCCAGAGGATGTCCAGTCCAGTAATGGTTCTGTGTACACCTGGAGAGAAGCTTTCAACGAGACTAACCAGGCAATCCGGACCATATCTCGCTTCATGGAGGTGAGAATCTGTTGCTTGGATCATTTAGAAAAGACTTAACGGCTGCTTTCTCTGAGACGTTACAATAAGGTTCAGGCAGGAGGCAGTTTTAGAAATAATGTATAGTCTCATTTACAAAAGTATCCCTCAAGCCTAATGCAGGATTTGGTAACAAAAGGCACTCAATAAATGTTAGTTGAGTGGTTGAATGAGTAAATAAACTCTAGCTTTAGTAAATGAACTCTAGCTTTATTCTATATAGGCTCAAGAGAATGTTTCTACCCATTTTCTTCTAGGTTTTCCTATCTCAGTGACTAATGGCAGCAAAGCATTCCCTTAATAAAAGGCATTATTTGTGAAACTTACCTAAAATCTAATTCAGGTCCAATTAAATTTTTTAAATTTTATATTAAAAATTATATCAGTAGGGATGGGTAAGAGGTGTTTTGGTCTGTTTGGTTGGCTGGTTAGTTGCTGTGACTCAGAATTGCTAAGAAAACAGAAAAGTAAGATAAGATCATTGTTTTGACCTCTTTTCCTCCATAAAGTCAATAAATAACATATCTCTAAATTATTCCCAGAATTTCTCTTAAATTACAGTGAAAAACCAAAATCCTCCATCCTTGGTTGACGATTGGAAAACTACGTTAGAGAGGATTAGAGAGAGAGGATAAGCAGTCATGTAGTCAGCCCTTGCCTCCTAGGGTAGGATTTGTCTCAGCCACTGCTTGCTGTCCTGGCTGCCAACGTTCTCACGAAGGCTGTTCTTCTACCAGTGTGTCAACCTGAACAAGCTGGAACCCATAGCAACAGAAGTCCGGCTCATTAACAAGTCCATGGAGCTGCTGGATGAGAGGAAGTTCTGGGCTGGTATTGTGTTCACTGGAATTACTCCAGGCAGCATTGAGCTGCCCCACCATGTCAAGTACAAGATCCGAATGGACATTGACAACGTGGAGAGGACAAATAAAATCAAGGATGGGTAAGTGGAATCCCATCACACCAGCCTGGTCTTGGGGAGGTCCAGAGCACCTACTAGGAAAAAAGGTACTTTAAGAATTTGGTAGAAATTTCAACAACAACAAAAAAACTCAACTTGGTGTCATGATTTTGGTGAAATTGATACATGCCTTGCTGGAAGGTTTTTCAAAGCTCATAAAATGTCAGTACCTTTTGATTTAGCATTTCTACTCAAGAGAATTAATTCCAGGAATTTTGGTGGTGGGTGCCTATAATCCCAGCTACTCAGGAGGCTGAGGCAGGAGAATCGCTTGAACCCAGGAGGTGGAGGTTCCAGTGAGCTGAGGTCGTATCATTGCACTCCAGCCTGGGCAAGAAGAGTGAAACTCCATCTCAAAAAAAAAAAAAAAAAAAAAAAAAGATGCAAAAATAGAAACAGGGGCTTGGTAAGGCTAGCGGGGCTTTGGGTGATTGGTTTTTTTATTGTATGTTTCCAAAGAAATGGTTGATTACCTGTGGTTTGGTTTTAGGTACTGGGACCCTGGTCCTCGAGCTGACCCCTTTGAGGACATGCGGTACGTCTGGGGCGGCTTCGCCTACTTGCAGGATGTGGTGGAACAGGCAATCATCAGGGTGCTGACAGGCACCGAGAAGAAAACTGGTGTCTATATGCAACAGATGCCCTATCCCTGTTATGTTGATGACATGTAAGTTACCTGCAAGCCACTGTATTTAACCAGTTTATACTGGGCCAGATGGGGGTGTGTGTATGTGTGTGAGCGTGTGCATGCACGTGTGAATGATCTGGAAATAAGATGCCTGGTAAAGTTGTCAACAGTTGCAGCCACATGACAGACAGACATATATGTGCACACACTAGTAAACCTCTTTGCTTCTCATCCATGGTTGCCACTTTTATTTTTTTTGTTTTTATTTTTTTTGAGATGGAGTCTCGCTCTGTCGCCCAGGCTGGAGTACAGTGGCTCAATCTCGGCTCACTGCAACCTCCGCCTCCCAGGTTCAAGCTATTCTCCTGCCTCAGCCTCCATAGTAGCTGGGACTACAGGTGCATGCTGCCACGTCTGGCTAATTTTTTGTATTTTAATAGAGATGAGGTTTCACTCTGTTGCCCAGGCTGGTCTCAAACTCCTGAGCTCAGGCAATCCACCCTCCTTAGCCTCCCAAAGTGCTGGGATTACAGGCATGAGCCACCACACCGAGCCCACCACTTCAATTTTTTACACTCTACCCTTTTGGTCAAAATTTGCTCAATCTGCAAGCTTAAAATGTGTCATGACAAACACATGCAAGCACATACTCACACATACCTCCAGATGCAGAAACAGCATCTAAACTTAAAAAAGCACACTTTATGTAAATGTGTGCACTTCTCCCTAGGTGGTAAACCACATTTCAAAACAACCCAAATAAAACTGAACAAAGCTTCTTCCTCTTAGATTTTTTAGAAAATCTTTTAGTGCTGAGTCACTAAGCTGCCAAGTTCTCATTGTGGGAACTATGCCTTTGGATGTAATGATTTCTTCTAAGAGAATGGGCAGAGGTGTAGTTATTGCAAACATCTGAAATATGTAATGTCTCTTCCAGATTCTGGAAATTCTCTTATTCCCTGTTATTGTTGGCGATGGTGGTGGTGATGGGATGTGTGTGTGTGTGTGTGTGTGTGTAAGGATCAGGATGCAGGAGGAGCAGGGTTCTTGTATTGGCTGTCTGTTTTGCATTGAACAGTCTGTTTCCTTGTATGGCTATCTATAGCTTTTCCAGGTCACCAGAAATTATCCTGTTTTTTACCTTCTAAACAATTAGCTGGAATTTTTCAAAGGAAGATTTTTACAAAGACTCCTAAGCCAAGGTTTACTCTAGAAAGGATGTCTTAAGACAGGGCACAGGAGTTTACAGGCATTAAGAGCTGGTGGCTGTTGTCATGTAGTGAGTTTGTGCCTGCATGATAAAGCTTTAACCTGAGCCTCAAGTTCAGGGTCCAGAATCTGTGTCCCTTTTACTTTGCACATCTGCATTTTCTACTCTAGCTTGGAATCTGCAACATTACTGACAAGAGCTGCCTGAAGTGTATGTCTGTGCTGTGAGTAGAGTTACGATAAGCAAGTCAATAGTGAGATGACTTTGGAGATGTTGAAATTTTGTGAGAGAATGAGTTGGTATTTTGGTTTGGTTTTTAGTACTTTAAAATAATCTACCTTTAGTTTAAGTATGGCTCACAGTTACCTAGTTACTGAAGCAAGTCCCCAAAGAGATTTGGTTTGGCAACATCTTGTTAGCTTCGTTTTTCTCTCTACATTGCATTGCTTATGAAGTATTGGGTCATAATGTACATTTCGGAGTCCAGAGCACCTTTCCTTCTGTGGCCCAGATGTGGTGCTCCCTCTAGCATGCAGGCTCAGAGGCCTTGGCCCATCACCCTGGCTCACGTGTGTCTTTCTCCCCTTGTCCTTCCTTGGGGCCTCCAGCTTTTTGCGGGTGATGAGCCGGTCAATGCCCCTCTTCATGACACTGGCCTGGATTTACTCAGTGGCTGTGATCATCAAGGGCATTGTGTATGAGAAGGAGGCGCGGCTGAAAGAGACCATGCGGATCATGGGCCTGGACAACAGCATCCTCTGGTTTAGCTGGTTCATTAGTAGCCTCATTCCTCTTCTTGTGAGCGCTGGCTTGCTGGTGGTCATCCTGAAGGTAAGGCAGCCTCACCCCCTGTTCCCTGCCAGGGAACTCCAAAATAGCTCAACACAGGATAAGGGAGGAGAAGAAGAAAAAAAATCAAAGCCTCGTGTAGAGAAGGGGTCATACCTATCATTTCCTGCAATTTCATCAATTTGTAGTTGGGGAAAGTGAAGCCCAGAGAGGGGCAGTGACTTGCCCAGGGTCAACCCAGCTGGGTAGCAGCTAAGCAGGACGAGAGTGCAGGGTTCATGCTTTCCAGATAACCACACGCTCAATTGTGCCATGCTGTGTACTTGGTAGTGGTTCATGGCAGCATCTGAGAGCTATTTATTTTCTTAGATATATTGGGTGGCGATTCTTCCCAAGTTTCTAAGAACAGTAATCAGAAGGATATATATTGTTGCAGGTTAGACTGTCTGGAAGCAGAGGCTGAAATAGAGTTTGATGTATGGGTATTTACGAGGGCTCAATACCTGTGGAAGGGATATGGAAGATGCAGGATTGGGCAGAGGGAGGAGTTGAACTGTGATACAGGGCTAACCCCGTGGGGCACTCTAGAGAATATGCAGCTTGTTGGAGTTGTTCTTCATCGAGCTGAAACATCCAGCCCTTTGTGCTCCCCCAAGGCCTCCCTCCTGACACCACCTACCCCAGCCCTCTCAATCAATTATTGGATGTGGGCTGCCCTGGGAAGGTCATGCCCCAGGGCCTACATGGCTCTCTGCTGCTGTGACAAACCCAGAGTTGCTGATGCCTGAGGCCGTCTCAGCTGGGCAAGCCTTCCCTGAATGGGGACTCTGGGCAGTGCAGTTTTGTGTCTGCACCATACATTAATATATTTATATCCGAATTTTGTCTCTCTGCAAGCATTTCATATAAAGATGCATCAGGTAAAAATAAATGTTTTTAAAGCAAAGGGAGTACAAAGAGATAAGAACTAACTAATTTAATACTAGCTACCATCTGTTACAAATAGTTCCTACTGATTGCCAAGGACTGTTTAAACACATCACATGAGCTGTCTTATTCTATCCTCACTAACCCTTTTAACAGATAAGGAAATGAGGCTCAGGAAGGTCAAGGACTTTATTGAGGTTCCACAGTAGGATACAGTTCTTGCTGAAAGCAACCCCTCCCTCCTGCTCTGATATCTAACTGCAAGGGCGAGGTCAGTGGCAAGGGTGGTGGTCCCCTGATCGGTGCATAAGAGCTGCTCTGAGACAACTGTATGATGGTGGGTCCTGCAGATGTGTACCCATCAGCCAGAGATAAGCTCAAAATATCCACAAGAGTTTGGATGATTGTGGGAATGCAGAATCCACAGTGATCAAGGGGGAAAGTCAAGTTGCCGGGCCATTTCCCTTGATGGGGAAACTTTTAGAGAGAAAAGTTACGTGGGACATCATCTCCCACAGCTCTTCTGTGGTGCCACCAGTCTTAGTCCTTATATAAGGAGAAACCAGTTAAAATTACCTATTGAAGAAACAAAGAGCAAACTCGCCCACTGAGATGCGTAGAAAGCCCTAGACTCTGTTGTCTTCATAACTCTGCCATTATTTTTCTGTGTAGTCTTGGGTAAATCACTTATCTTCTTTATGATAGTTATGATCAGTTTCCTCATCAGAAAGATGAAGAGCATTACACCTCTGCATTGTCTCTAACATGACTAGGAATAAACCCTGTCTTTTTTCTGTAGATCATACAAGTGAGTGCTCGGGATTGTTGAGGCAGCGCATTTGATGTGTCTCTTCCTTCCCAGTTAGGAAACCTGCTGCCCTACAGTGACCCCAGCGTGGTGTTTGTCTTCCTGTCCGTGTTTGCTGTGGTGACCATCCTGCAGTGCTTCCTGATTAGCACACTCTTCTCCAGAGCCAACCTGGCGGCAGCCTGTGGGGGCATCATCTACTTCACGCTGTACCTGCCCTACGTTCTGTGTGTGGCGTGGCAGGACTATGTGGGCTTCACACTCAAGATCTTCGCTGTAAGTACCTCTGGTCTTTCTTCAGTGGCTGTAGGCATTTGACCTTCCTTTGGGGTCCCTGAATAAAAGCAGCAAGTTGAGAACAGAATTGATAGTCTCTTTCCAATGGGACATGAACCTTTGCTCTAGATTCTAAGCTCTTTAAGGGTTAAGGGCAAGGATTGTGTTTTATTAAATTGTTTACCTTTAGTCTTCTCAGTGAATCCTGGTTGAATTGAATTGAATGGAATTTTTCCGAGAGCCAGACTGCATCTTGAACTGGGCTGGGGATAAATGGCATTGAGGAATGGCTTCAGGCAACAGATACTGTCTCTGCCCTTTATCTCCCAGCTCTGTTGGCCATGTTAAGCTCATGACAAAGTCAAGGCCACAGATAGAACTGAAAAGTCTTGAGGTCAGAGATGGCCTCTCTTGTCTTCCTTGTGTCCAGTATGGTGTTTGCTTGAGTAATATTTTATGAACTAAACACAACTGAGGAGCGAGTGCCTCATCTTCCCACAAATTCCTGACTTGGACCCTTCCTTCTCTTGTACAGAGCAGGGGGAAATCTTGGATAGTGTGTGAGCCCCTACAAGTGCAAGCTGTCAGATGTCCCCAGGTCACTTATAAGGAAAGCTATGAATCACTCATAGGATGCTCCTGATGCCTCAGTCTGGGCTCCGTGGGCATCAGCAGCCCCAGCCAGGTACCTCTGATCCTGAGCCATCCTTGGCTGAGCAGGGAGCCTCAGAGGACTGTGGGTATGCACACATGTGCAGGGGAACAGGATTGCTGAGCCTTGGGGCGTCTTTGGAAACATAAAGTTTTAAAAGTTTTATACTTCATTGTATATGCATTTCTGAAATGTTTGTGTATAATGAGTGGTTACAAGTTGAATCATTTTATATGTTACTTGGTAGCCCACCACTCCCCTAAAGGGACTCCATAGGTAAATACTACTTCTGTACCTTATGACTGATCCATTTTGCAAATTCAAATTTCTCCAGGTGTAATTTACACTAGAAGAGAGAGAAAAATGAGAGAGACCAGAAAATGGATAGGTGACTTTGCCTGTTTCTCACAGAGCCTGCTGTCTCCTGTGGCTTTCGGGTTTGGCTGTGAGTACTTTGCCCTTTTTGAGGAGCAGGGCATTGGAGTGCAGTGGGACAACCTGTTTGAAAGTCCTATGGAGGAAGATGGCTTCAATCTCACCACTTCAGTTTCCATGATGCTGTTTGACACCTTCCTCTATGGGGTGATGACTTGGTACATCGAGGCTGTCTTTCCAGGTACACTGCTTTGGGCATCTATTAGGAAAATATGACTTCTAGCTATTTTCCTTTCATTGTGCTAGAATCTCTGCAGTGCATGGGCCTCCCTGGGAAGTGGTTTGGGCTAAAGATCTATAGTAAACAGATAGTCTAAGGACAGGCAACTGATGCTGAAAGTACAATTGTCACTACTTGTATAGCACTTGTTTCTTGAAAACTGTGTGCAAGGCAGCATGCAAAATGTTTTATACACATTGCTTCATTTAATTCTCACAAGGCTACTCTGAAGTAGTTACTATAATAACCAGCAATTTTCAAATAAGAGAACTGTGACTCAAAGATGTTAAGTAACCAGCTGTGGTCACACAACTGTTAAGTGTTGGTACATGGAGGAGAATCCACTTTGGTTACACTGGGTCGTAAGCCCATGCGAATCCTCTCAATGCTCACCCAATTCTGTATTTCTGTGTCCCCAGAGGGGGTACAACTAGGAGATGTTCTGTTTCCTGAGTACAGGTTGTTAATAATTAAATATACTAGCTCTAAGGCCTGCCTGTGATTTAATTAGCATTCAGTAAAAATTCATGTTGAATTTTTCTTTAGTACTTCTTTCTTAATATATCTACTCGACCAAGTCCAAGAGGAACCTGCCTTGGGACAAACTTTCATATGAGATCAAATTCTGAGACAGCAAGATTTAACTCTTTTTGGTTCACCTTCTGATCCTCCCCTAAGGAGGTATACATGAAATATTTATTACTCCCGCCTGAACTTCATTCATTGAATATGCAGTTTTGCAGCATGCAGATTCTGGATTTAAATTCTGAGTCCTGAACTTACTGGCTGAGGGACCTTGGATAGGCTCCTTATCTCTCACTTTCCTCATCTCTAAAATGGGGATGGCACCTGCCCCGTGGGTTGTTGGAAGGACTTACAGAGGTGCAGAATGTATGTTGTACATAGCAGGTTTCAACAAATGTTTGCTCCCCCTTTCCCTACATCCATTCCAATCTGTTCCTTCCCCAAAAGATGTGTCAAGGAGGAAATGGACCTGGCTGGGAAACCCTCAGAATACTGGGATGGCGCTGAGCTTGGCTCATACCTGTGCTTTGCTTTCAGGCCAGTACGGAATTCCCAGGCCCTGGTATTTTCCTTGCACCAAGTCCTACTGGTTTGGTGAGGAAAGTGATGAGAAGAGCCACCCTGGTTCCAACCAGAAGAGAATGTCAGAAAGTAAGTGCTGTTGACCTCCTGCTCTTTCTTTAACCTAGTGCTGCTGCCTCTGCTAACTGTTGGGGGCAAGCGACGTCTCCTGCCTTTCTAAAAGACTCTGAAATCACTCTAGGGGCAGAGAAATCACATGCAGTGTCCCTTTCCAAATCCTCCCATGCCATTTATGTCCAATGCTGTTGACCTGTTGGGAGTTCATGGTCTGGATCCCTGAGGGACATTTTCTTTGTTGTCTTGGCTTCTAGAAAAGTATCTTTTACTTGCCCCCTCCCAAACGCACATTTTGTGCTCTCCTAACAAACTAGAAGAAAGAGGTAAAGACAAGCATGATTGTGGAACCATAACCTCCCTGCCTACCTTGTCATGGTGACCTGTGTGTGAGCCTGTGTGGGCTGAGACCAAGTGGCTACTACAGAGCTCAGCCTATGCTTCGTAACGTAATCACTCTTCATTACGTAGATCCCTAATCCTCTCTTGGCTCCTGACTGCAGGCAGAGAAGTCCACAGCTCATCAAAGGCTCTGCCTTCTGGGTTCTTTGTGCTTAGAGTGGCTTCCTAAGTGTTTAATAGGTCCCTTTTCTGCCAGTCTCTTCTGTGCCCATCCCCTGATTGCCCTTGGTAAAAGTATGATGCTCCTGAATGTAGCACGCTTGCCTGCTGTTCCTAATCATCTTCTCCTACCTCCTCTCTACACCTAGCTCCTATTTCAGTCACCTAGAAATGCTCACAGTAGCTGGAATATGTCATGTTCTTCCACACCCCCATGCCTTTGTATGTACTGTTTGCTCTCACAGGAGAACCTTCTCTCTAACTTGCCTATCTTCTCAATTCCTCCTTTCTCTCCAAGATCTAGTTCAGGATCCCCACCCCTGAGCATCCCTCCTTGGTTCTCAGGTAGTCAGTCACTCTCTACCCTGAACTTCCATGGCATGTGAAAGAAAATCTTATTTTTTAAAAACAATTATAGACTCACAAGAAGTAATAAAAGCTACATGAGGGGGTTCCCCCAATGGTAGCACCATGCGTAACTATAGAATAATATCAAAACCATGAAATTGACATTGGTGCAATTCACAAACCTTCAGATTTCACTAGCTTTATGTGCACTTATTTGTGTGTGTGTGTATTTAGTTCTATGCAGTTTTATCATGTGTGAATTCATGTAATTACTAGCTCAATCAAGCTGCAGAAATGTCTCATTGTCACAAAGCTCCTTCATGCTACCCCTTAATGGCCACAGCCACCTCCCTTCTTCCTCAGTTCCTGACACATCTCAACCACTGATGCATTCTTCATTTTTACAGTTTTATTATTTCCAGAATGTTACATAAATGGAACCACACAGTAGGTATCCTTTTGATACTGGCTTTTTTTTTTTTTTTTCCACTCAGCAGAATTCCCTTGTGATCTTTCCAAGTTGTATGTGTCAACAGTTCATTCCTCTTCACTGCTAAGTAGTGTTCCCTGGGAGGGAGATATCACAGTTCCATGGCGTTTTTAGATGTAGTTTTGAAACAACTTTCAGCATCCTGTATTTTAATTGTTCATCAAGTCCTTTTCCCAATAGACTCTGAATGCTCCTTTATCATTGTATTCCCATCACCAACATCAGTATCCAAATAGGCCTTACATAAACATTTGTAGCCTCCTGCCTGCCTGTGAAACCAGGGTGGACATGGAGAGAAGGCATTGCTGAGAGTACGAGCGCAGCGCCATGCGTCCTTACCCTCCACTCCTCAGTGCTTTCTGTGGGTTCATTTCTGTCCTCTCTCCTGTCACAGTCTGCATGGAGGAGGAGCCCACCCATCTGAAGCTGGGCGTGTCCATTCAGAACCTGGTAAAAGTCTACCGAGATGGGATGAAGGTGGCTGTCGATGGCCTGGCACTGAATTTTTATGAGGGCCAGATCACCTCCTTCCTGGGCCACAATGGAGCGGGGAAGACGACCACCATGTAAGAAGAGGGTGTGGTTTCACAGAATCAGCCACAGGAGGGTTCTGCAGTAGAGTTAGAAATTTATACCTTAGGAAACCATGCTGGTCCCTGGGACAAGGGGAGGAGCACATGAGGAGTTGCCGAGTGTGAAAATATTACGTAATCACGAGTGTCTTTCCACGTGCTAGTTTTCTAGATGTTATTTCTTCAGCCTAAAACAGTCTGGGGCCTCTAGATGTTATTTCTTCAGCCTAAAACAGGCTGGGGCCTCAGATGACCCTTCCCATGTAGTTCACAGAATTCTGCAATGGTCTTGGAACCTGCAGTCACGAAAAGATAGATTACATATGTTGGAGGGAGTTGGGAGTTCCCAGGAACTCTGTCTCTAAGCAGATGTGAGAAGCAGCTGGGCAACTGGCTTGACTGCCTTCCCTGGGACCTCAAGGACCTTACAGCAGGTAGTGTCAGGAGGGATCAGGGACTGTAAAGCACCAGCGTTAGCCTCAGTGGCTTCCAGCGTGATTCCTCAACCGTTCCAAAGGGTGTACCTTTAGGGGGTGACATTCCTTCCTGTTTCCTTTTAATCTTTTTTTAAAACATAAAATTAATATATTATGAGCTTTTCAGAAGATTTTTAAAAGGTAGCCAGAAATCCTACTACCTAACATAAAAATTATTATCTTTGAATAATATGTTCTTGTTTGTCCATTTTCTGTGTGTGCGATGTTAGGCATACAAAATATATTTTTTAAAGTATACTTTCATTGCAAATTGGAAACTTCATTTAAAAAATGCTCACACTAAAATTGGCATTTCTAACACATAGGCCCACTTGTAGTTATTTACTAAAGTAAAAGGACTGCTTTGCTTTGTTTGGGTCTGGTAGGGTTCATTAGAAAGGAATGGGGCTGGTGGGAGGGTTGGTTTTCTGTTCTCTCTGCAGCCTGAATGGAGCATCTAGAGTTAAGGGTAGGTCAACCCTGACTCCTGTACTTCTAAATTTTTGTCCTCAGGTCAATCCTGACTGGGTTGTTCCCCCCGACCTCGGGCACAGCCTACATCCTGGGAAAAGACATTCGCTCTGAGATGAGCACTATCCGGCAGAACCTGGGGGTCTGTCCCCAGCATAATGTGCTATTTGACATGTGAGTACCAGCAGTCCGTTAAGAATAGGCCCTTTCTGGATGTGTGTGTCATGCCATTGTGGGAGGAGTGGGACTTAAGCATTTTACTTTGTTATGTTTTTTTTTTTTTTTTTTTTTTTTTTTTTTTTTTTTTTAGACGGAGTCTTGCTCTGTAGCCAGGCTGGAGTGCAGAGTGGTGCTCACTGCAACCTTGGCCTCCCAGGTTCAAGCAATTCTCCTGCCTCAGCCTCCCGAGTAGCTGGGACTCTAGGCACACACCACCATGCCCAGCTAATTTTTAGTGGAGACAGGGTTTCACCATGTTGGCCAGGATGGTCTCAATGTCTTGACCTCGTGATCCGCCCACCACGGCCTCTCAAAGTGCTGGGAACACAGGCATGAACCACTGCGTCTGGCCGCATTTTACTTTCTTTGAATGTGGCAGGCTCACCTCCCTGAACACCTTGAGACCTACTTGTTCTTTGATTTTAGAAGAAGTGGGAGGTGAATGGTTGAGCTGAGAGGTGACTTCAGCCCAGCCAGTGGATGGGGGCTTGGGAAACATTGCTTTCCATTATTGTCATGCTGGAGGGCCCTTTAGCCCATGCTCTCCCCCGCCACACTCCTTACTGAGGCCTGGAGCAGACTTCCCAGACCTGGTAGTGCTTCAGGGCCCTGGTATGATGGACCTGTATTTGCTGCTCAAGACATTTGCTCCCACTCAGGTTGTCCCATCAGCAATAAGGCCCCCAGGGAGCCCGTGTGATGGAGCCAGAGAGAGACCTAAGGTCTGCAATCTTGGGCAAGGCTTTTCCCTTATGTTTCTTCTTATCTAAAGTGAACGGCTGGGGCTCATATGCTCCCTCCTCATCTAAAGTGAACACATGGGGCTCACGTGCAGGGTCCTCCCTGCTTTCAGAGCCTGGGGTCCCCTGAGGTTCAGGAGGGCTGCTCCAGGTGAGTGCTGAGCTGACTTCTTGGTGGATGTGCTGTGGGGACAGCCCGTTAAAGACAACATCTTGGGGCACTGAAATTGAAAGCTGGAACTGCCTGGTGCATGGTGGCCAGGCCTGCTGGAAACAGGTTGGAAGCGATCTGTCACCTTTCACTTTGATTTCCTGAGCAGCTCATGTGCTTGCTCACTGTTGTTCTACTTTGAATCTTGAAGATTGTTTTTCAGAAATTGATAAAGTAAAAAAAAAAAAAAAGTGAGGGGAGAGGAAAATATGCCTATTCTCATCTGTTCTGAGCTAGGGGACACTGTATTCTGGGGTATCCAGCCCAGAGCTGACCTGCCTCCCTGTCCCCAGGCTGACTGTCGAAGAACACATCTGGTTCTATGCCCGCCTGAAAGGGCTCTCCGAGAAGCATGTGAAGGCGGAGATGGAGCAGATGGCCCTGGATGTTGGTTTGCCATCAAGCAAGTTGAAAAGCAAAACAAGCCAGCTGTCAGGTGCGGCCCAGAGCTACCTTCCCTATTCCTGTCCCCTCCTCCTCCAGCTACACACACGCAGAGGAAAATCAGCACTGCCCCAGGGTCCCAGGCTGGGTGAGGTGGGTAATAGAAACTTGTCCCTGGCTGTGTCCCCAGGTCCTCTGCCTTCACTCACTGTCTGGGGCTGGTCCTGGAGTTTGTCTCACTGTTCTTTTTTTTGTAGGTGGAATGCAGAGAAAGCTGTCTGTGGCGTTGGCCTTTGTCGGGGGATCCAAGGTCGTCATTCTGGATGAACCCACAGCTGGTGTGGACCCTTACTCCCGCAGGGGAATATGGGAGCTGCTGCTGAAATACCGACAAGGTGCCTGATGTATATTTATTCTGAGTAAATGGACTGAGAGAGAGCGGGGGGCTTTTAAGAAGTATGGTTGTATCGCATGGCTACTCTTCTGTGAAGCCATGGGATTCTCTTCTGTTATCACAGAAGAGATAAAGGGCATTGGGACTGAGATTCCTGAGAGGAGATGCTGTGTCTGTATCCATCTTTTTGTCCCCAACATGGTGCACTAAATTGATGGTTAGTCGAAAGGGTGGATGCATAAATGAATGGAATGGGAGAGGGGCAGGGAGATGATTGGGCTCTCTGGTTAGAGATCTGATGTGGTACAGTATGAGGAGCACAGGCAGGCTTTGAGCCAACCCTGGCTGGTCCCGAGACATTGGGAAAGTCACAACTTGCCTCACTTTCTTTGCCGATAATAATAGTGGTGCTTACGTCATAGATTAAATTAAATAAGAATGCACACAAACCACCTAGCACAATGCCTGGCATATAGCAAGTTCCCAAATAAATGCTACTGTTCTTACCTCTGTCATGATGCGGTACCTATATACATATCCAAAGCTTTGCCATTCTAGGGGTCACAGCCATACAGGGTTAAAGGTGGCTTCCAGGTCTCTTTGCCCTGCTTACCCCTGCTAATCTCTCTCTAGTCCCTACCACTGTGATAAATGAGAACTGAGAGGCCTCACCCGTCCCACATCCTTGTGTTTGTGCCTGGCAGGCCGCACCATTATTCTCTCCACACACCACATGGATGAAGCGGACGTCCTGGGGGACAGGATTGCCATCATCTCCCATGGGAAGCTGTGCTGTGTGGGCTCCTCCCTGTTTCTGAAGAACCAGCTGGGAACAGGCTACTACCTGACCCTGGTCAAGAAAGATGTGGAATCCTCCCTCAGTTCCTGCAGAAACAGTAGTAGCACTGTGTCATACCTGAAAAAGGTGAGCTGCGGTCTTGGTGCTGGGCTGGTGTTGGGTCTGGGCAGTCAGGACTTGCTGGCTGTGAATGGTTTCCCCACCTCCACCGCTTTTGCCATGTTGAAGCCACCATCTTCCTGCTCTGCCCCTTGGAAATCATATCATACCTCAGGCATGGAAAGCTAAGGAGCCCTCTGTTCCCATTGTGCTAGTTCTGTTGAATCCCGTTTTCCTTTTCCTATGAGGCACAGAGAGTGATGGAGAAGGTCCTTAGAGGACATTATTATGTCAAAGAAAAGAGACTTGTCAAGAGGTAAGAGCCTTGGCTACAAATGACCTGGTGTTCCTGCTCATTACTTTTCAATCTCATTGACCTTAACTTTTAAACTATAAAACAGCCAATATTTATTAGGCACTGATTTCATGCCAGAGAGACTCTGGGCATAAAAGAAAATAATGATAATCATTAATTTTATATAGCATTGTTACCATTTACAACCTTTTTTTTTTTTTTTAACCTCTATCATCTCAATTAAAGTACAGAGAAACCCTGGGAAGAAGGTAACTATATTTATTATCCCAGATGAGGGAAGTGAGGCTTATAGGGATTTGGTAGCTTATTCAAGGTCACCCAGCAGGTAAATAACAGTGGTAGGACCAGACTCAATTACCGGGTATGTTTTCCCCTGTACCGCAGTACATGCCTGAGATTTCTTTGTGTGTTGAAGCCAGTGGTAGCTAACATATTTACATCCCAACCTTAAACTCCTATCCACTTATTTACCTTTTAATGAGCCTCTTGACTTAAGTGCAGTCTGAGGACCAGCAGCATCAGGATCACTTGGGAACTTGTTAGAAATTCAGCAACTTGGGCCCAGCTCAGACCTCCCGAATCAGAATCTGTGCATTTTAACAAGGTCCTCAAGTGGTTGAACACACATTGAAGCCTGAGAAGCATTGAAGTAGACATGTAGCCAGGTAAAGGCCTTGCCTGAGATGGTTGGCAAAGGCCTTGTTGCAGCATTCATTGGGAGGCCACAGTTCTTCTGGCAACTCTGCTTCCTGACCTTTCACCCTCAGGAAGCAAGGCTGTTCACACGGCACACACATGCCAGACGGGGTCCTCTGAAGCCACGGCTGCCAGTGCATGTGTCCCAGGGAAAGCTTTTTCCTTTAGTTCTCACACAACAGAGCTGCTTGGAAGCCCTCCCCGGCGAAGGTGCTGGTGGCTCTGCCTTGCTCAGTCCCTGATCCGTTCTCACCTCCTTCTTTGCCATCAGGAGGACAGTGTTTCTCAGAGCAGTTCTGATGCTGGCCTGGGCAGCGACCATGAGAGTGACACGCTGACCATCGGTAAGGACTCTGGGGTTTCTTATTCAGGTGGTGCCTGAGCTTCCCCCAGCTGGGCAGAGTGGAGGCAGAGGAGGAGAGGTGCAGAGGCTGGTGGCGCTGACTCAAGGTTTGCTGCTGGGCTGGGGCTGGGTGGCTGTGGGGGCGGGTGCAGCTTGGTGGTGGGTTGGCCTAATGCTTGCTGGGGTGCCTGGGGCTCGGTCTGGGAGCTAGCAGGGCAGTGTCCCAGAGAGCTGAGATGACTGGGATTTGGGGAATCCCTTAGGGGAGTGGACACTGAATACCGGGGATGAGGAGCTGAGGGCCAAGCCAGTGGGCTGGGATTTGAGCCTAGTATATAAGAAGAGTGAGAGCCCAGGAGATCAGGAACAGCCTTCCAGATTTTTCTTGGGTAGCGTGTGTAGGAGGCCAATGTCACCAGTAGCATATGTGGAACAGAAGTCTTGACCCTTGCCATCTCTGCTGAGTCCTAATGGCTGGCTTTTCCCAGGAAGACTTCTGCTTCCATGAACTGTTAGATTAACCCTCTATTTAGGTAAATGAGGGAGCCTACTTTTCAAGTATAGGAAAGGGTGAAGAATCTTCTAAGATTCCTTTACTCAAGTTTTCTGTTGAAGAATCCCAGAGCTTAGGCAATAGACACCAGACTTTGAGCCTCAGTTATCCATCCACCCATCCATCCACCTACCCACCCATCCTCGCATCCACCCATCCACCCATCCACCCATCTACCCATCCTACACTGAGTACCTACAATGTGCCTGGCTTTGGTGATACAAAGGTGAATAAGACATAGTCCTTTCCTTTGCCCCCAACCCTCAGACCAGAGATGAACATGTGGAATGATTAAAATACCTGGAACAGGTGTGGTGTATGAGCAGCAGGCTTCTGAGGAGAGGGTGGGGGATGGCCAGCCCTCACTCTGGAGCCCCTCTGCGTTGATTGAGCCATCTTTGCATTCTGGTCCCTGCAGATGTGTCTGCTATCTCCAACCTCATCAGGAAGCATGTGTCTGAAGCCCGGCTGGTGGAAGACATAGGGCATGAACTGACCTACGTGCTGCCATATGAAGCTGCTAAGGAGGGGGCCTTTGTGGAACTCTTTCATGAGATTGATGACCGGCTCTCAGACCTGGGCATTTCTAGTTATGGCATCTCAGAGACGACCCTGGAAGAAGTAAGTTAAGTGGCTGACTGTCGGAATATATAGCAAGGCCAAATGTCCTAAGGCCAGGCCGGTAGCCTGCATTGGGAGCAGGATTATCATGGAGTTAGTCATTGGGTTTTTAGGTCATTGACATCTGAGTAATGTTGACTCCAGTTAGCCATTTAAGATGGTGGTGGGAGACAGCAGGAAAGAAGTATTTTCCTCTGTACCACAGTACATGCCTGAGATTTATTTGTATGTTGAAACCAGTGGTACCTAACAGATTTACATCCCAACCTTAAACTCCTATCCACTTATTTACGTTTTAATGAGCCTCTTTACTCAAGTACAGTGTGAGGACCAGCAGCATCAGGATCACCTGGGAACTTGTTAGAAATTCAGCAACTTGGGCCCAGCTCAGACCTACTGAATCAGAATCAGGAGCAATTCCCTGGTGTGACTGTGTCACAGCCAGGTATCAACTGGATTCTCATACATAGGAAATGATCAACATTTATGAATGGATAGTCTACTTATGTGAGGTGCTGAGATTTTTTTTTTTTTTTTAAATCACTGTGACTTTAATTCTCATAAAAAGATGAAAAAATGAACACGCAGGAATGTTGACATGAGATTCAGAATCAGGGATTTGGGGCTTCAAAGCCCATCCTCTCTTTATCCATGTAATGCCTCCCCTTAGAGATCCAACATCACAGACCTTGAGGGCTGAAGGGGATATAAAAGCTGTCTGGCCCAGTGGTCTCCAAGTTTGACAGTGCAGCAGAATCACCTGGGGATGTTACTAAAAGTAAACATTCTAAGGTTTGGCTTCAGGGCCTGTGCATCAGAATTTCTGGAGGTAAGGCCTTGAAGTCTGTACTTCCGTTGCATGCTTCGGACGCAGTGGTCTATAGACTAGAGTTTGGAAATTATTGCGCTCATTCAGATTCTCTTCTGATGTTTGAATCTCTGCCATCGTATTTCTAGTGCTCTATTTCCTCCTGCTCATTCTGTATTGGATAACTTGTCATAGTGCTAGCCTACTCAAAGATTTAGAGCCACAGTCCTGAAAGAAGCCACTTGACTCATTCCTTGTAGGTTCAGAACAAATTTCTTCTGCTGCAGTGTCCTACTGTCATAGCTTTTTTTTTTTTTTTTTTTGGATGAGTCGGGAGTTTTGCTCTTATCGCCCAGGCTGGAGTACAGTGGTGCGATCTTGGCTCACTACAACCTCTACCTCCCGGGTTCAAGTGATTCTCCTGCCTCAGCCTCCCGAGTAGCTGGAATTACAAGCATGTGCTACCACGCCTGGCTAATTTTGTATTTTTAGTAGAGACGGGTTTTCTCCATGTTGGTCAGGGTGGTCTCGAACTCCCGACCTCAGGTGATCAGCCCGCCTTGGCCTCCCAATGTGCTGGGATTATAGGCATGAGCCACCGTGCCCAGCCATAGCTTTAATTTAAAAATGATTGTCTAGATTGATAGCTCTCACCACTGAGGAAATGTTCTCTGGCAAAAACAGCTTCTCTCCCAAGTGACTCTGACAAAGTGTTATTAAGAAATGTGGCTTCTCCTTTCTCTGTCTTAAGGGGCTAACATGCCACTCAATAATGTAATAATCATGGCAGTGATGACTGCTTTCGTAATGTTGGTGCTTATCATGTTCTCACCTGCTCTCATTTTGCAGATATTCCTCAAGGTGGCCGAAGAGAGTGGGGTGGATGCTGAGACCTCAGGTAACTGCCTTGAGGGGGAATGGCACACTTAAGATAGTGCCTCCTGCTGGCTTTCTCAGTGCACGAGTATTGTTCCTTTCCCTTTGAATTGTTCTCTTGCATTCTCATTTGTAGAGTGTAGGTTTGTTGCAGATGGGGAAGGTTTGTTTTGTTGTAAATAAAATAAAGTATGGGATTCTTTCCTTGTGCCTTCAGATGGTACCTTGCCAGCAAGACGAAACAGGCGGGCCTTCGGGGACAAGCAGAGCTGTCTTCGCCCATTCACTGAAGATGATGCTGTTGATCCAAATGATTCTGACATAGACCCAGGTATGTTAGGGCAAGATCAATCAGTGTCCCACTGTTTGAATGTGAAATTCTCTCTCATGCTTCCAGCTGTTTTCTTGGGATGGCCTTTAGCCAAGGTGATAGATCCCTACAGAGACCAAAGAGATGTGAGGAAATGATAAAAGCCCCTTGTTCTTTGCAGCATCGTGCATGTGATTAAACCTGAAAGAGCCCATCCATATCACTTCCTTTAAAGACGTAAAGATGGTGCCTCAATCCTCTGAACCCATGTATTTATTATCTTTTCTGCAGGGTCCTAGTTTCTTGTATATATTAGGTGTTTAATTGTTGAACAAATATTCTTTCAAGTAGATGAATTATTTTGGAAGAGTCAGAAAGGGGAATTTGCTGTTAGAGTTAATTGTACCCTAAGACTTATATATTTGAGGCCGGGCACGGTGGCTCATGCCTGTAATCCCAGCTCTTTTAGAGGCCGAGGTGGTTAGATCACCTGAGGTCAGGAGTTTGAGACCAGCCTGACCAACAAGGTGAAACCCCATCTCTACTAAATACCAAAAATTAGCCGAGTGTGGTGGCACATGCCTGTAATTCCAGCTACTTGGGAGGCTGAGGCAGGAGAATCGCTTGAACCTGGGAGGCAGAGGTTTCAGTGAGTCAAGGTTGCGCCATTGCACTCCAGACTAGGCAACAAAAGTGAAAACTCCATCTCAAAAAAAAAAAAAAAAAAAAAGACTTAGATATTTTAGATGAGTGTGTCTTTGTGTATTTAACTGAGATGGAGAGGAGAGATAAGACATCAAACAAATATTGTTAAGATGTAAAAGCACATCAGTTAGGTATCATTCATTTAAGACAAGGATTTCTAGAAAATGTTTAGGAACAGAAAACTTTCCAGTTCTCTCACCCCTGCTCACAAGAGTGTATGGCTCTTACATTATATATAATTGCCTGACTTCATACAGTATCAGTACTTAGATCATTTGAAATGTGTCCACGTTTTACCAAAATATAATAGGGTGAGAAGCTGAGAAGCTAATTGCCATTGTGTGTTCTCAAATATGTCAAGCGATGTACATGGCCTGTTTCATAGAATAGTCTATAAGAAATTGATGACTCAATTCATCCGAATGGCTGGCTGTAATACCTGGTTATGCATGAACACATCTTTTCAGTTGTCTCAAGACACCTTTGTTTTCTGTACTTGTCAGACAAGGACTGAAAGGCAGAGACTGCTCCTGTTAGACATTTTGAGTCATAACTCTTCCTTGGACACAGCTTTGGCCTAAAAGTTTACTTCTGAGAAACTTTTAGCTTCAGACACACGCCTCCAAGATAGTTGTTGAAGACACCAGAAGAAGGAGCATGGCAATGCCGAAAACACCTAAGATAATAGGTGACCTTCCGTGTTGGCTTCTTGCAGAGTCCAGAGAGACAGACTTGCTCAGCGGGATGGATGGCAAAGGCTCCTACCAGGTGAAGGGCTGGAAGCTTACACAGCAACAGTTTGTGGCCCTTTTGTGGAAGAGACTGCTAATTGCCAGACGGAGTCGGAAAGGATTTTTTGCTCAGGTGAGATGTGCTGTTTTGGCTAAAGACGCTGGCCTCATGGGTGGGCTGCAGGCTCTGTGACCAGTGAAGGCAGGATAGCCTCTTGGTCAAGATACGGATGCTGGAGCCAGATTTATCTGTATTTCAATCCCAGTTCTATTCCTTGCCAGTGTTGTATCTGCTGGCAAGTTACTTCTCTATGCCTCAATCTCCTCATCTGTAAAATGGGGGTAATAATATTACCTGCAGTACAGGGTTGTTACGAAAATAAAAACAAATAGGTGCTTAGAATGGGGCCTGACATTAGCAAGTGCTTACTTTTGTGTGCGTATATGTTATTTTGGAGGCGAACATAAAAAGGACAAAGTATAGAAAAACTGATCAGGTGTATTCAGCTGTCGTAACATGAGAGTTGTTATACCCAGATGCACTTGACGTGTGAACTTATTAGAAACTTGATTTTTCTCTGAGTTGATGTTTAACTCAAACTGGTAGAAAAGGTAGGTCAGAATATAGTTGGCCAACAGAGAAGACTTCTTACACTATTGTCTGCATGTCAGTGTTTGCATGCTAACTTGCTTAGTTAGAAGGGTTAGATTTTTTCACTCTGTAAAATCAAGAAATGTAGAGAAAAGGTCTGCAGAGAATCTTCCACACTGATGATGTGAATACTGTTAAGAGCAGGAGTTTGGAGCATACAGAGAGCTAGAGTTGAATCCTGACTTTGCTACTTATTGGCTGTATGACCTTGGGCAAGTTGCTTAATCTCTCTGATCCTCAGTTACTTTTGTTTGTTGATGATAATCATTGATAACACAACCATAAATAATGACAACAGAGATAATTCTCATTATAGTACTTATTATACAGACTTATTCACTCAATGTCAATTTTCTGCATTGAAATCCCAGAACATTAGAATTGGGGGCATTGTTTGAATCTTTAAGGTTATAAGGGATACATTTCTCAACAATAAATGGGAGGAGCTTTGGGTTTACTTACAAAGTATGCCCAAGTCATTTTTTTTTTTTTTTTTTTTTTTCAGAGAAGATATGGTAGAAAGTCTCAGGAGGTTGAAGAAGGAATTGGATATTTATTCTTTCTGAGACTGTCACGGGAGACAATGACTATGGTTGTCCGTGATTGGAGCCATTGCTGTAGAGTTGGTTTTATTATAGTGTAGGATCTGAATGGGCCGTGTGTTCTCAGACCTCAGATTAAAGTGAGAAAACTGAGGCCAGTGGGGAGAGTGACTTCACATGGGTGCACTTGTACTAGAGACAGAACCAGGATTCAGGACTTCTGGCTCCTGGTCCTGGGTTCATGGCGCCCAATGTGGTCTTTCTCAGTCTTCAGGAGGAAGAAGGGCAGGACCCAGTGTTCTGAGTCACCCTGAATGTGAGCACTATTTACTTTGTGAACTTCTTGGTTTAGTGCCTCTGCCAGGTGGCCATAGCCTCTGGCCTTGTGCTGCCAGAGAAAAGGTTTAGTTTTCAGGCTCCATTGCTTCCCAGCTGCCAAGAATGCCTTGGTTCAGCACAGTCATAGGCTCTGCACTCCTCATTGCCGTGCTGGTTGGTCGGGGAGGCTGGCTGGACTCGTAGGGATTTGCCCCTTGGCCTTGTTTCTAACACTTGCCATTTTCCTGCTGTCCCCCTGCCCCCTCCGCTGCCTGGGTAAAGATTGTCTTGCCAGCTGTGTTTGTCTGCATTGCCCTTGTGTTCAGCCTGATCGTGCCACCCTTTGGCAAGTACCCCAGCCTGGAACTTCAGCCCTGGATGTACAACGAACAGTACACATTTGTCAGGTATGTTTGTCTTCTATGTCCCAGGAGGGGATAAGATTCAAGCAGACCAAAGATGTTTACGACGGCCAAGGGAATGGACTTCAGAATTACACAGTGGAATAAATTTTACTTCTGTGACTCGGGTCCCTGTATAAGCTAATACTGCATGCATAGAACAGCAGCGAACTAACCCTGAATAATAGGCCCTGAATTCAGCCTCTCTCCTCTTTATCCTACTGTTGTCAGGAACAGCCACATGTGTTTTAGGTAAAATAATCTGCCCTTGCAAAAATCCACGATTAAGTTATGAAATATTTGAATTTGTGGAGCTGTGTTTTAATTCTGTAATTGACTCACAGGGCACGCTATCAAAGCATAGAACCTCCAGAGACTTGTTTTCTGCAAAGTACAATTCATATAATTATTATCTATTCTGTTATATTTGGGATGTTAGCTAGTGTTTGTTCTTTAGACAAAAATTTCCTCCTCTCCATAACAATACATTACATCAAAGAAAAGGATAAAGGATATTTCTGGGTCTTGTTAGCAGGAGCTTTCTTCAGTCCTGAAGGATTTGTAGACCTGTAGATGGGGGAACTGTATCAGTGATACAAAAGGGAAGCATTAGAAAAAAAAAAAAATATATATATATATATATACACACACGCACACATATATATATATTTTTATGTAAATGTGAATTGGCCTCTTTTTCTCTAAGCCCACGTTTTCTTCTTACATAGTTCAGGTTTACTTTATTTTTTCCTTTCCAGCTGCTGACCCTGTATTGCCCGTGGTCGTGGAACATAGCATGTGTTTGTGACCTGTGCCTGTTATTTTTGTGCTTTCTAGTTGTGCATGCAGAGTGCAAAGTGTTCTTGCCCTTTCTTGGAAAATCCTGCTTGTCTGTGCCAAAGGGATAATCACAAAAGCACTTTTGAAATACTTAATGAGTTGATTTACTTCAAATTTAAAAAATATATAAATGTATACGTGTATGTATATGCATGTACACATACACACCTTTATACATATAGCCCATTTATACAAGCTCCACTTTGGAGTGCTCTATGTCACCCTGATGCCGAATACAGGGCCAGAGTCTGAGATCCTTCTGGGTGGTTTCTGTGTTTTGTTCATTTCTGTTTTAAGAACCTATCACAGAGAAATGCTTCCTGAAGTGTTTAATTTATAAAACATTTGTATCTCTTGATGACTGGTTTTAATGAATTCCTAAGCTGGTTGCCTCTTATGTACCCACAGCAATGATGCTCCTGAGGACACGGGAACCCTGGAACTCTTAAACGCCCTGACGAAAGACCCTGGCTTCGGCACCCGCTGTATGGAAGGAAACCCCATCCCGTGAGTGTCACTTTAGCCATCAGCTGGCTTCTTGTGCTTGTCACCTGGTTTGATTTCTAATATGCTGCATTTATCAACTGCATGTCACATTGTGACCACCAGCATTTGCCCTTTGAATTATTATTATGTTTTAATTACAAAAAGCCAGTGTAGTAACCTAGCTAAATTATCTAGGAACAAATGTTTGGAGAGTCTTCTAACACCATGCAAAGCACATCATTCCAGACATTTGTTTACTGATTTAGAACATTAATATTTAATTTAAATAGCACTTTAGACTTACTGATCAAATGCTTTTCCTTTCTTTCTCTCCCATTCCCTGTACTTAAGTGCTTCAGTAGGCTCTCATTATATATAATTTTCAGGTTTTGTTTATCAGCTTCTTCGCTTTTACAATCTGTAAAGATGACATATGAATTTTTATAAAAATGACACTTTCTTCTTTTCAAATTGTATATTTTTATTGTACTTTCCTTCAAAATCCCCTTTTCAAAAGTAGGCAGTGGATAAATAAATTCAGTGAAGCATCCATATGACTCTTAAGTGTGTGTAGGGGAAGGGAGGTCACTGGATCACTGTGAGTAAAGATGGTGGAGAGGTGAGGATCTTATGAGGCAGTGCTCAAGGCTAGTAGAGGTGGGTTAGTGTTTCCGGGCTTAGGCAGAATCTCAGCTGAGGTCATGAAACAACAGTGATCTCTGAAAAATTATGACAAGGTGGGAAGGTGCTGGAGAGTTGGAGAGAGGGGCAAACTTGACTTTCAAGTTTTAATGGGAAGATGGGTGACTCTGCACACCACAAAACAGTGAGCATGATAACCTGTTTATACGAGGTTCTAGAGACGATTTCTAAATGGGTAGCTACTGTGTGCTTGTTTGTTCTTAATTAGTATTGGATAGTTGCTAAATACTTGTTAGTTTAGTACTTAGTAGTTAGTACGTGATGGGTGGTAAATCCTAGCAGCCAATATTGGTTCCCAAATAACCAGATGGCAAGGATAGAGAAGGACACAGATACGGCCTATCTGAATTTCATGGTGCCTTTGATTTTCCACACGAAGGTTGTATAGGAAAGATAGAAGCATGAGATGAGATGATAATATAGTTATCTGGATTCCTCACTGGCCAGCTGAACCGTATGAACTCATGGATTGATGCCAGCTTAGGAAGGCTCTGTAGGAGCCAGAACTGGGTTGAGAGCCAGCCCGTAGAGACAAAATAGGCCTAGCCCTGACATCAGAGGGTTCAAACAGCCCCACCTACAGTCTGCCAGAGGTGGTCGGAAGGGAGGGCCTTTATCCTGGCAACTCTTACTGAAATTCAGATTTTTAGGTTTTGCCAAAAAATGGTAGACATGAAGGAAATTTGACAGGAGCATGTCTCAGCAGTATTTAAATTTGTCTTAGCCAATCCCCTTCTGAATGTTCAGAGTGTGAGCTTCAGGAGGGCAGCGTGTCTTTGTGTGACTTTTCCAGTCAGTTCAGGTGCTTTAAGGAGACTTAGAGATCAATCTGGAAAACTGTTCATTTGAATTTTTAATACATAAGAAAACAATAAGAAATAGTTTAAAAATATATATGTGTGTGTGTGTGTGTGTGTGTATATATATATATATTTTTTTTTTTTTTTTGAGATGGAGTCTTGCTCTGTCACCCAGACTGGAGTACAGTGGCTCAATCCTGGCTCACTGCCACCTCTGCCTCCCAGGTTCAAGTGATTCTCCTGCCTCAGCCTCCTGAGTAGCTGGGATTACAAGCATGTGCCACCACACTAGCTAATTTTTCTAATTTTAGTAGAGATGGAGTTTCACCATGTTGGACAAGATGGTTTTGAACTCCTGACTTAAAATGATCCACCTGGCTTGGCCTCCCAAAGTTCTGGGATTACAGGCATGAGCCATCGTGCCCGGCAATTATATTTAATAGTTAATAATAAGGAAATAATTGCTGTAGCTTTACTTTAAATTGTGGAATTCCGAAACTGGAAGGGAACTGGAAATGACTTGTTGAATCAAGTCATTTTAAACTTTTATTTTGCCAGTGGAAAAAATAAGCCCCCAAAAGAGCAGGGAACTTACTGATGTCCCACAGTAATTCACAGCTGGAGACAAGGTTAAAGGCTTTGTGTCTTATCTCCAGGGAAAATTTGTAGATAGCCTAGCTCTTTATGTGCCGAGCACTCTCACCCCAGGCATCCCCCAATTCTCCACTCATTTGAGAACATAAATTGGATCTTGCCACTCTCTACTCATTTTTCAGCACGTCGAGCATAAGATCCAGACTGTTTCCCAGGCCTCTGTCATCTGGCTCCTCTCCTCCTCGTTTATCATTACTCTTCTTCGTAGCTTATCCTACTCCAGCCGTGCTGTCTTCCTGTTATCCCTCAAAAATAGAAACGCATTTCTTCCTAGGGCCTTTGTTCCTGCACTTGCCATCGCTTTTGCTCATTATATTCTTTTCGTCAAATCTTTGACCAGCTTGTTCTCCATCATTGTTTATGTTTTGACTGAAATGTCTTCTCTTCAGTAGGTCCATTTTCCCCAATCACTGTCTTTTTATTTTGCTTTATTTTGGGCCATCTAAGATTATCTTATTAGTTTATTTGTTGTTCGACTCCTCCATGGCCATATACCTCCATGAAGGCAGGTATTGTCACCTTAGGCCCTCAAATATACTGGACAGCATCTGGCACATAGTAGATGCTCAACGAATATTTGTTGTGTGAGCAAATGGTTGGTTGATTGGACTGAACAGAGTTCAGTATGTAAACGTTTAGGGCCTCTTTGCATTCTATTTTACTTATGTATAAAATGATGATACATAATGATGATATAAATGATGTCACAGTGTACAAGGCTGTTGTGGGATCAGGCAATCAAATGAGATCATGCTTGTCTTTTCCAAATGGTGAGGGAGTAGATGCATGTTTGTGGTCATTATGGAATGATCCTGTGCTCCTGAGGCAACAGAAAGGCCAGGCCCTCTCGGGTAATCCTCCTCTTGCTGTCTTCCCTTTGCAGAGACATGCCCTGCCAGGCAGGGGAGGAAGAGTGGACCACTGCCCCAGTTCCCCAAACCATCAAGGACCTCTTCCAGAATGGGAACTGGACGATGCAGAATCCTTCACCTGCATGCCAATGTAGCAGCGACAAAATCAAGAAGATGCTGCCCGTGTGTCCCCCAGGGGCAGGGGGGCTGCCTCCTCCGCAAGTACGTCACTTTCAGGGTGTGACTGGGCAGAAGGGGTAGAGGGTGGGCTGGTAGCTTCTGCTTGGAAGCAGGAATGAGTGAGATGCCATGTTGGGAGGGTCTGTCTTTTTTCTCTTTTTCTTTGAGGCGGAGTCTTGCTCTGTTGCCCAGGCTGGAGTGCAGTGGCATGATCTTGGCTCACTGCAACCTCCCCCTCCCAGGTTCGAGCGAGTCTCCTGCCTCAGCCTCCAAAGTAGCTGGGATTACAGGCACGCACCACCATGTCCGGCTGATTTTTGTGTTTTTAGTAGAGATGGGGTATCGCCATGTTGGCTAGGCTGATCTGGAACTCCTGACCTCAGGTGATCCACCCGCCTCGGCCTCCCAAAGTGCTGGGATTACAGGTGAGAGCCACCTGTTTACCCCTGATTACAGGTGAGAGCCCAGCCCTGTTTCAGTCTTTAACTTGCTTCTTGTCATAGGAAAAAGCATGTGAGTTTTGAGGGGAGAGGGTTTGGACCACACTGTGCCCATGCCTGTCCCACAGCAGTGAAGTCACAGGACAGACTGTGACAGGCCTGGCTTCCAATCTTGGCTCTGCAACAAATGAGTTGGTAGCCTTTGACAGGCCACTTTAACTCCCTGGACCTGTTTCTTCACCTCTGAATTAGGGAGGCTGGATCAGAAAACTCCTGTGGATCTTGTCAACTCTGGCATTCTTGGAGACTCTGTTTGGGAAGGGGTGTTTTTTTTTTTTTTTTTTTTTGAGAATTTCAGGAGGAGGAGTGCTTATGATAGCTCTCTGCTGCTTTTATCAGCATCCAAATTGCAGGGTGAGGACAAGCAATTCTAAATGAGTACAAGAACTAAAATAAGTCTTGGTTACCACTCTTTAAAATAATAGCTAGGCCAGGTGCAGGGTGGCTCACACCTGTAATCTCAGTATTTTGGGATGCTGAGGCGGACGAATCACCTGAGGTCAGGAGTTCGAACCAGCTTGGCCAATGTGGCGAAACCCTGTCTCTACTAAAAATACAGAAATTAGCCAGACATGGAGGCATGTGCCTGTAATCCCAGTTACTTGGGAGGCTGAGGCAGGAGAATTGCTTGAACCTGGGAGGTGGAGGTTGCAGTGAGCCAAAATCGTGCCACTGCACTCCAGCCTGGGCAACACAGTGAGACTCCGTCTCAAAAAATAAAATGAATAAAATAACAGCTAATCTAGTCATCGGTATAACTCCGATGAACAAAAGATTTATTAGGCATAGGGAATGATGATGCTTCCTAAAAATCTCTTGACTACAAAGAATTTCATTTCAATGTTTATTGTTAGATGTTCAGAATAAATTCTTGGGAAAGACCTTGGCTTGGTGTAAGTGAATTACCAGTGCCGAGGGGTAGGGTGAACCAAGTCTCGGTGCTGGTTGACTGAGGGCAGTGTCTGGGGCCTGTAGTCAGGTTTCCGGTCACACTGTGGACATGGTCACTGTTGTCCTTGATTTGTTTTCTGTTTCAATTCTTGTCTATAAAGACCCGTATGCTTGGTTTTCATGTGATGACAGAGAAAACAAAACACTGCAGATATCCTTCAGGACCTGACGGGAAGAAACATTTCGGATTATCTGGTGAAGACGTATGTGCAGATCATAGCCAAAAGGTGACTTTTTACTAAACTTGTCCCCTGCCTTATTATTACTAATTAGAGGAATTAAAGACCTACAAATAACAGACTGGAACAGTGGGGGAAGTACCAGATTATGGCCTGATTCCATCTATCGGAAGTTTAGGATATTATCCCAAACTAGAAAAGATGATGAGAGGGACTGTGAACATTCAGTTGTCAGCTTCAAGGCTAAGGCAACCTGGTCTAGAATGAAAATAGAAATGGATTCAAAGTCAAATTCTGCCACTTAGTAGCAACTTGACCAGGTAACTGGTTATCCTTTTAAAGCCTTAGTTTATCTAAATTGTGATATTAATGTTGCTCTTGTAAGTTTGTTATGAGGACTAAATTAAATGATGTACATAAAGTGCCTTGGGTACTCTCTGATAGGGGACTCCATGATAATTTGTGGTCTCATGGAGGGAGCCCTGGGAAGGTTTAGGAACCTGCCTTGGCTGTGGAGCCTTGGGAGAGCCGTCTAGCTTCCCGGGACATGGCAGCCTAGTGTTAAATGCTTAGCTCAGCAAATGTTTGTTCTGGTTTCCTTCCCATCAACTTGGTCAGTTGGGGTCTTTCACTTAGGAGTTTCTCAGTGCCTTTAAGTGGCACGGGCATGCTGGAATGATAGTGACCATGAGTTTCCAAGAAAGAAGCATAACTTCTCCTTATGTCATCCACAATTGAAATATTATTGTTAATTGAAAAAGCTTCTAGGCCGGGCACAGTGGCTCACACCTGTAATCCTAGCACTTTGGGAGGCCAAGGCGGGTGAATCACTTGAGGTCAGGAGTTCAAGACCAGCCTGGCCAACATGGGGAAACTCCGCCTCTACTAAAAATACAAAATAAGCTGGGCGTGGTGGCACGTGCCTGTAATCCCAGCTACTTGGGACGCTGAGGCAGGAGAATTGCTTGAACCCGGGAGGCGGAGGTTGCAGTGAGCTGAGATCACGTCATTGCACTCCAGCCTGGGCAACAAGAGCGAAACCATCTCCAAAAAAAAAAAAAAAGAAAGAAAAAGCTTCTAGTTCACTTACATCTTGGTCTATAAGGTGGTTTGTAAATTGGTTTAACCCAAGGCCTGATTCTCATATAAGTAATAGGGTACTTAGGATGGAGGGAAGGCTGGAAGAGGCCTGAGCACAGGCTTCTTTTCTCTGGCACAACCCTACAAGGCCAGCCTGATTCTAGGATTATTTCTGTCCCTTCCTTATATCCTCAGGTGGGTATTTACTCCTTTTGCATCATCAGGAATAGGCTCAGTGCTTTCTTTGAACTGATTTTTTGTTTCTTTGTCTCTGCAGCTTAAAGAACAAGATCTGGGTGAATGAGTTTAGGTAAGTTGCTGTCTTTCTGGCATCTTTAGCTCAGGAGGAGGATGGTGTTGTAGGTGTCTTGGATTGAAGAAAGCTTTGGAGATTGTTTGTCACTCACACACTTATGGGTACCACCTCACCGTAAGGAGGACAGAAGCCCTGTGAACGTGTGGAGCACACAGGGGCACAGACAGATTTAGATTAGACCTGCTTTGTAGAGCTTCTGCCTAGAGCATCGTAGCTCAGTGCCTAGTGGCCTCTCCAGAGGCCTCTGAAATATCTGATGTACTGATTTCCTTGAGGAGAATCAGAAATCTCCTGTGGGTGTCTAGGGAGTTCAAGTAAGTAGTGTTGTGAGGGGAATACCTACGTGTACTTTCCCCCCAAACCAGATTCTCAAGGCTTCTTAAGGACTCAAGGACAATTTCTAGGCATGTAGCAAGGGACTAAGAAGATCTTAGAGGAAATAAGAAGCACCAAAACCATCTCTGTGCACTGTATTTCAACCCATTTTTCCATCTGGGTTTTGAAGGAACAGGTGGGACTGGGGATGGAAGAATTCTAGAGGCCAGTTTGTCCATCATGAAAAATGAGATAGCTGATGTGGCTACCTCAGGGGGCCTGAAGGCTCCTTGTTACTGATTTCCACCTTTTCTGTCTGCCTTTTCCCCAAGGGCCAGGACCCTTGGATCTCTGGGCAGAGCAGACGCAGGCCCCTATAATAGCCCTCAGGCTAGAAAGGAGCCGGGACCTGCGTATAAGGCCAGTGTAGCCTACTTTGGACAGTGCAGGGTTCCCACTCTCCCAACTTCCCATCTGCTTGCCTCCAGACCCACGTTCACGCCCGAGTCACTGGGTCGGAGGAGCATCTGTGAGATGAAACACCATTCTTTCCTCGATGTCTCAGCTATCTAACTGTGTGTGTAATCAGGCCAGGTCCTCCCTGCTGGGCAGCAACCATGGGAGTTAAGAGATTGCCAACCTTTATTAGAGGAAGCTGACGTGTAACTTCTCTGAGGCAAAATTTAGCCCTCCTTTGAATAGGAATTTGACTCAGTGAACCTTGTCCACATTTGCATTGAGTCTCCTGCTGAGTGGTATGTGCACCCCACTGTCTGGGTTTTAATGTCAGGCTGTTCTTTTAGGTATGGCGGGTTTTCCCTGGGTGTCAGTAATACTCAAGCACTTCCTCCGAGTCAAGAAGTTAATGATGCCATCAAACAAATGAAGAAACACCTAAAGCTGGCCAAGGTACAATATCTATCATGAGACGTATCAGAAAAATGGGCGTGTGGCTGCTGGGATGTAGGAGTAGTTGGCAGGTTAAATGGATCACCTGGCAGCTCATTGTTCTGAATATGTTGGCATACAGAGCCGTCTTTGGCATTTAGTGATTTGAGCCAGACAAAACTGAATTACTTAGTTGTACATTTAAAAGTGTAGGTCAGAAACAAATCCAGAGGCCAGGTGCCATGGCTCATGCCTGTAATCCTAGCACTTTGGGAGGCGGAAGTGAGTGGATCACTTGAGGTCAGGAGTTCGAGACCAGCCTGGCCAACATGGTGAAACCCCATATCTACTGAAAATACAAAAAAAAAAAAAAAAAAGCTGGGCTATTAGTGGCATACACCTGTAATCCCAGCTACTTGGGAGGCTGAGGCAGAAGAATCGCTTGAACCCTGTAGGCAGAGATTGCAGTGAGCTGAGATCGCAGCATTGCACTCCAGCCTGGGCAACAAGAGCAAAACTCCGTCTCAAAAAATATTTTTTAAAAATTCAGAGATTTAAAAGCTCTCAGCGGCCAGGTGTGGTGGCGTATGCCTGTAATTCCAGCCCTTTGGGAGGCCGAGGTGAGCGGATCACAGGTCAGGAGTTTGAGACCAGCCTGGCCAACATGGTGAAACCCTGTCTCTACTAAAAAACATACAAAAATTAGCTGGGCATGGTGGCGTGCGACTATAATCCCAGCTACTCGGGAGGCTGAGGTGGGAGAATTGCTTGAACCCAGGAGGTGAAGGTTGCAGTGAGCTGAGATTGTGCCACTGTGCTCCAGCCTGGGCGACAGGGCAAGACTCCGTCTCAGAGAAAGCTCTCAGAACAACCAGTTTTACAAATTTGGCCAGTTGGTAAATAAACTGGGTTTCCAACCTACTTTGCTGAAACAATCACTGACTAAATAGGAAATGAATCATTTTCTTTTTGAAGCTGGCAGGCTGGTCTGCAGGACCTGATAAGTACTCACTTCATTTCTCTCTGTCTCAAGTTTCCCATTTTTAAGTGAGAATTAAGGGGCTCCGATAAAATGGACCCTAGGATTGTGGACAGCAGTGATAGTCCTAGAATCCACAGCTCTGCTTTTGAGTGATGGACCCATGTATCTGGCACATCTGCAGGCGGAGCATGGTTCTGGCTCTTCAGATGATGCCGGTGGAGCACTTGGAGGAGTCCTCACCCCACTGTGATAACCAGACATTAAAATCTTGGGGCTTTGCATCCCCGGATTTCTCTGTGATTCCTTCTAGACTGGTGGCATCGTGGCAGCATCACTGTTGTAGATTTCTGGTCACTTGGTTCTCAGGAGCCGTTGATTTAATGGCTTCACATTTAATTTCAGTGAACAAGGTAGTAGTGGCATTGAGCTTCACAGGGCCGTCCTGTTGTCCACAGGTTCCAGGTTGACTGTTGCCCCTTATCTATGTGAACAGTCACAACTGAGGCAGGTTTCTGTTGTTTACAGGACAGTTCTGCAGATCGATTTCTCAACAGCTTGGGAAGGTTTATGACAGGACTGGACACCAAAAATAATGTCAAGGTAAACCACGGTCTTTGTTCTAGTAGCTTTTTGATGAACGATGATCCTTATGTTTCCTGGAGCACTTTCAACTCACGGTAAAGTTGGCAGGGGCATTCACAACAGAAAAGAGCAAACTGTTAGCTTTACCAGCGAGGCAGTACGGTAAAGTGTAGTGATTCAGAGAATTTGCTTTGCCACCAGACATACCAGGTAACCTTGACTAAGTTACTTAACCTATCTAAGCTTCAGTTCCCTCATTTGTGAAATGGAGACAATAATCATGGCTATCTCTAAACTGTTGTGAGAATTCAATGAGTTAAAGGTATAAGGTCCTCCCCACAGTGCCTACCCACATAGTCAGTGATCACTGTGTCCTGTACACTATAATTACTTCTCCATGTTCTCTGATCATAGTGTTTTGCTTTGGTGCGTGACTAGAATTTCTTTCTGAGGTTTATGTGCATGGTTGGTTTGTGTGCACCTGCCTGCAGGAGCAGGGTTTGGGGGCATTACCTTGTACCTGGTATGTTTTCTTCCAGGTGTGGTTCAATAACAAGGGCTGGCATGCAATCAGCTCTTTCCTGAATGTCATCAACAATGCCATTCTCCGGGCCAACCTGCAAAAGGGAGAGAACCCTAGCCATTATGGAATTACTGCTTTCAATCATCCCCTGAATCTCACCAAACAGCAGCTCTCAGAGGTGGCTCTGTAAGTGTAGCTGTGTCTGAATGGATGGAGTGGGGCAAGGGGAGGGTCATGGAGGAGGGCAGAAAAATATGAAGCTCATCGTAGGGGAACAGCTGCAGAGACCATTACATTATGATAAATCTGGGTTGATCCAGGCTCTGGGCAGAAGTGATAAGTTTACGAATTGGCTGGTTGGGCTTCTTGAACTGCAGAAGAGAAAATGATACTGATATGTAAAAATCGTAACATTTAGTGAATTCATATAAAGTGAGTTCAAAAATTGTTAAGTAAATTATAATTTAATTATAAGTGTTTAATCAGTTTGATTTGTTTAAAAACCACTGTTTTAAACTTGGTGGAATATGTTTTTATTAGCTTGTATCTTTAATGCCTAAGTTAAGCTGTGTGTGTGTGTGTGTGTATGTGAGAGAGAGAGAGAGAGAGAGAGAGAAAGAGAGAAGTTTAAAGCCAGGATGAGCTAGTTTAAAGTATGCAGGCATTGGAGTCATACAGATCTGGGTTTGAATCTGGTCTCTAAACTTTATAGATGTATGATATTAACTGAGGCAATTCATGTAAATTGCCAAGCCCAGCACTCAGCACAGAGTTGATATTTAGCACACATTAGATGCCTTTCCTGTACATGGAGCATGGCAGTTCCTGTTTCTGCTTAACTCCTACAGGATACTAATATAGGACACTAGGATCTTTATACCAAGACCCCGTGTAATGGGCTTATAAAACCATTCTTCTTATACGAATCTGATAAAATTTTTGTATGTGTTAAATCAATAGGCTACATACTGTTATTTTCAAGTTGATTTACAGCCAGAAAAAATTAATTTATTTGAGTAGTTGCACAGTAATATTTCTGCTCTCATTTAGTTTTCAAGCCCCACTAGTCCTCTGTGTGTGAAAATTTACAACTTACTACTCTTACAAGGTCACGAACAGTGGACCAAAGTGAATACCATTAACCACTCTGACTTCCTTCATTAGTTTTATTGTGGCAGTGGTATCACAATTTGACCTCAGTAGTATCAGTTTGGCATTTACATTGTCATATTTTTTGACTTAAAAATAATCATCTTAACCCTGAATAAAATGTGTCTGGTGAACAGATGTTTTTCCTTGGGCTGTGCCTCAGATATCTGTGTGTGTCTGTGTGTCCGTGTGTCTGTGTCCTCGCTGATTGAGCCCCAGTTGCATCAAAGACCCCTCAGATTTTCACACCCTTTTTCTTTCCAGGATGACCACATCAGTGGATGTCCTTGTGTCCATCTGCGTCATCTTTGCGATGTCCTTCGTCCCAGCCAGCTTTGTCGTATTCCTGATCCAGGAGCGGGTCAGCAAAGCAAAACACCTGCAGTTCATCAGTGGCGTGAAGCCTGTCATCTACTGGCTCTCTAATTTTGTCTGGGATATGGTAAGGACACAGGCCTGCTGTATCTTTGTAATGTCTGTCAGGGCCATGGATTGATAGGGATAAGAAGGAAAGAGCCCTGGCTATCATCAGGAAATGTTCCAGCTACTCTAAAGATATATGAAAAAGGAAAAGCCAGAGACAGGTGATCACTTTCATGACACCAAACACAGCATTGGGTACCAGAGTTCATGTCACACCAGAGGGAAAAATCTGTACACAATGATGAAAATTAATACCACTGCTGCAAGAATCAGAGAGATGCAAGTCAAAACTCCAAGTCAATGCCTCTAATTTTTCTGATGGGTTTTAACCTCCAGAGTCAGAATGTTCTTTGCCTTACTAGGAAAGCCATCTGTCATTTGAAAACTCTGTACATTTTATCAGCAGCTTATCCATCCATTGCAAACATGTTTTTGTGCCAGCTACAATATATTGCTTCTATGTTGACCAATATGGGGGACTTGAAGGAATTCTAAAGTTCTAATTATTGTAAAGTACAGTTGAAATATATCTTCCTGTAACTTCCATTAACTATAAGCTACACAGAGCAAATGTAATTCTTCTCCCACTGAACAAGTCCCTGAATATTTAAAAACAACTCTCATACTCTCATTTAACCTGAGTATTCCCCAGATAAGATGATATATGAGAATATATCTTGTAACCTCCAAAGCACTGTACAAATGTGAGCAGTGATGGTGGAGATGATGATGAGGTCTTTGCTGTTCATACCAAGGCTCTTAGACTTTGTCACTCTTCTGATCCGATTGTCCTTGTATGGCCATGCTCTCTATTGTTAATGTCCCGTTTCAAAAGCAAAGCCAAGAATTAACCTCGTGTTCAGGCTGTGGTCTGAATGGTTATGAGTCTAGAGGGAGTTAATCTTTAGCCCACACTTCTATTCCTACAGCACAAAGACTTTGCATTTTGGAAGGAGCACTGTCTTACTGGCAACTTAGTGGTAAACCAAAAACCTCCATTTCACACCAATGATTGTGAAATTCGGGTCTCCTTCATTCTATACAAATTCATTTTTTTTGAACCTAAACTTTATATTTATCCATATTAAATTACATGTGTTTTATTTTTGTTTTAGCTTGATTCAGTAATTACTCCAGTCAGTAAACACAGACTGAATGCTATGTGTCTGACTTATGCTAGGCATAGGTGATTCAGAGATGAAAGGTCAAGTCCCTGAACCCATCTCTTATCTTCCTGGGTATTATCTGTAGCTCCTGAAATTTGCTAGAAGCATGTCTTCATCTAAGTTGTTGATAAACACATCAAGTAGCACAGGACTGAGGCAGAGTTCTGTAGTCAGAAGCTGCAGTTCTTCTGGCAGCTAACAAGCCCACTATCACTTCCCTGCCTGTGCTTTGCTCTGCCAGCTATGAATTCTCATAATTGTCCTATCGTCAAGTCTTTAGTTTTGCATTTTACTGCTTGATACACTGTCAGGACAGACTTTAAAATTATTCTCAGTGCGATGAAACAATTCTGACATTCATGTTATGAGCAGTTACCTCATAAATAGATTACATGTGAGATTGAACTTGGGCAGACTGTAATATAGCATTAATGATGAAACAGACACAATCATCTTCGGGAAGAAGAATGGAAGCTTATTTGCTGCCTGTGAAATTGAAATTACTCTGACTGGGAATCCATCGTTCAGTTTACTGAGCGTGACACCTTGGCTTGGCTGTTGGAAAGACAGAAAGGGCATGTAGTTTATAAAATCAGCCAAGGGGAAAATGCTTGTCAAAGTGTATTGTCCGGTATTTTGATTAATAGTTTATGTGGCTTCATTAATTCAGAGTTACTTTCCAATATGTTTATCTGCCCTTTCTTGTCTAATGATGGTGAAGACTTGTGTGATGCATTGTGTATTTGATTTAGGGTTAAACTGTATGTCTTTGTTTTCACTTTTAGTGCAATTACGTTGTCCCTGCCACACTGGTCATTATCATCTTCATCTGCTTCCAGCAGAAGTCCTATGTGTCCTCCACCAACCTGCCTGTGCTAGCCCTTCTACTTTTGCTGTATGGGTAAGTCACCTCTGAGTGAGGGAACTGCACAGTGGATAAGGCATTTGGTGCCCAGTGTCAGAAGGAGGACAGGGGACTCAGTAGACACTTACCTTTTTGTGTCTCACCAGGTGGTCAATCACACCTCTCATGTACCCAGCCTCCTTCGTGTTCAAGATCCCCAGCACAGCCTATGTGGTGCTCACCAGCGTGAACCTCTTCATCGGCATCAATGGCAGCGTGGCCACCTTTGTGTTGGAGCTCTTCACCGACAATGTGAGTCATGCAGAGAGAACACTCCTGCTGGGATGAGCATCTCTGGGAGCCAGAGGACAGTGTTTAATTGTGATCTTATTCTACTTGTCAGTGGCATTGATGCTGCTGACTGCCTTGTCCTTTCTTCAGAGTCTGTCTTCCCTGAGAAGGCAAAGCACCTTTCTTTCTTGCTGTGCCGTACATTTTGCTGGTCAAGCCTTTCAGTTTCTTTTGACAGTTTTTTTTTTCTTTCGTTTTTCAGTGTTGCTTTTACCAAGAGTAGCTCCTCTGCCTTCCACTTTGCACATGAGATCTGGGCGACGCCATTCAATCCCAAGACTTTTACCATCACCCTTCTTGGTGTTTTTATTGTCATCTCTAAGATCTATGCCTTTAGCCTTGTTCATAACCTTGAACTCTAATCTCACATTCTCACTTGCCTAGTGGATTGCTCCATTTAGATAGTATATAGATACTCCAAACTGGACAGGTCCTAGTTTTCTTCGCCCCTGGAACATAATGCTTTTCTTACCATCCCTGTCACACTCAGTGGCACTACCATCCACTCGGTTGCCCAAGCTGGCTCTTAGAGTTATCCTAGATGCTTGCTTTGCTGTTGCAGATTTCCCACGTTCGACTGGTTGTGTTGTCAGTTCTTCCAGGTATGGACCTGTAAAATAAGGCTTCCTCTCCATTCCGGTTGGCATTGCCTTTGTCCAAACACAGCACACAAGGCCTTTTACAGATGCACAACTCTTCCTGTCCGTACCCACCACACCCTTTCCCCAGCTGTAAGCTTCAGATGAGTTGTCCCCAACCACCATGCTCCTGTAAGCCTGGTTTGAAATGCCCTTCTTCTGTCACAGGGTCCGGTAGTACATCTCTTACCCTTCAAGATTTAGCTTAAATGTGAAGCTGTCCTTACCTGCTGGGAGGTGTTCTCTCTTTTCTCTGTGCTCTCAGAGTCCTCAGTCCATGCCTCCAGTACAGTGCACATCCACTTACATGGTAATTTCCTGTTTACATAGTTTTCTTACTCGGAGTGGAGCCTGTTTCTTATTAACTTTTGCCTCTCCCATGCCCTAGCACAGTGCATCCAGCATATAGCCCCTTACTCACTTGCTAGATATTTGGCCACTGTTGTCTTTTGGGGTCATACGTTCTGATGTATTTGAGAAGAATTTCTAAAATTCTGACAAAATCCTGAAACTCAAATATTGACCCAGACATGAGCAATTTGCTTTTAAAATGCTAAGGGATTTTTCATGGATTTGCTTCTGATTAAATATAGGCTGTTTCTAAGCTTTATTCATGATTTCTCCACACTCAGACCATTTCTCCAGATTTTCTAAAGAAGAGAATTTTATTGCTACATGTCGTCCACTATGCCTGCTGCTATTTCATTGGTATCTGAATTAAAAGGTCCAGTTTGTTCCTAGAGAATCAAATTTTTCTTCACTCCCATATTTCAGAATTTGATACATTTTTAGGATAAACCATGAATAACATCCATTTCTTCTCCCTCACCCTCCCTTCCCTCCCTTTTCTTTTTATTTTAGAAGCTGAATAATATCAATGATATCCTGAAGTCTGTGTTCTTGATCTTCCCACATTTTTGCCTGGGACGAGGGCTCATTGACATGGTGAAAAACCAGGCAATGGCTGATGCCCTGGAAAGGTTTGGTGAGTGAAGCAGTGGTTGTAGGATGCTTTAATGGGGATGGCACTCTGCATAGGCCTTGGTACCCTGGACTTTGTTTTGGAAAGAAGCAGGTGACTAAGCACAGGATGTTCCCCCACCCCCATGCCCAGTGATAGGGCTCATGCCAACACAGCTGGTTGTGGCATGGGTTTTGTGACACAATCATTTGTCTGTGTCTCCAATAGCATTGAGAAAAGTGAAAGGGCAGTTTTGAAGGTAAGGAAAATAGTGGCATTTGCTTGGATCCATTGGCTCATGCCACTGACTGGGTTGGTCAGAGGCCCTGGAAAAGTCAAACCACAGCTTTGAGAATTAGAAGGTCAGGGAATCAGAAGGAAAGATGCTAACTTTGGCTCTATTAGGCGAATCATGTGTCTGCAGATGAGGTCATATATTATCTTTTACACAGTCTATAAAATGATAATGTATTACATCTTTTTCTACGTTTAGAATGGTTAAAAATATTTCTCCCATAGCCATATGATTATTATTCATCCACTAGCTAATATAGTCAAATGGGCCATATTATTTAGTGGTCATAGAAGAGGGGCTTTTTCCAACTTGGGGTACAAAAGAGATATATAAGAAATGTAAGGAATATTTACATGGAACTAGATTTAATGGAATCTAGTGATTAAATTGATTCATTAGGATATATGCTCCTGAAAGGAGCATCTGCTTAAAGTGCTAATACTTCTTATTACTAAAACTTAGAATTTCTTAAAAATACTGTAAAAATTACTTGGGTTGTTTGCCTTTTTAAAAGGATTTTTGGCATGTTTCATTAAAAAAATACTAGATATCTTCGGTGAAGTCACAAATCTAATACACATTAGCTCTGAAATTCTGATTGCTACTGGGCCATAAAAAGTTTTCCCATATCAGACTTGGAAAGTGATCATTCGCTTGTTACTTTTTTTTTCCTCTTTGTCATGGGTGATAGCCATTGGTGTTTACTGGAAGATTTGGTGAATTTTTAGGAACATAGACCCAAATTTGAGGAAGGGCCATGGTTTTTGATCCCTCCATTCTGACTGGATCTCTGCATTATGTCTACTAGGGGAGAACCGCTTTGTGTCACCATTATCTTGGGACTTGGTGGGACGAAACCTCTTCGCCATGGCCGTGGAAGGGGTGGTGTTCTTCCTCATTACTGTTCTGATCCAGTACAGATTCTTCATCAGGCCCAGGTGAGCTTTGTCTTAGAACCCATGGAGCACGTGGCTGAGGGTCACAGGGGAAGCGCACAGGGAAACACTCACCAATGGGGGTTGGATTGAACCGAACTCAAAATATGTGATAAAACTGATTTTCCTGGCGCGGGCATCCCGCAGCCCCTCCCTGCCCATCCTGGAAACTGTGGCAAGTGGGTTTTATGATACTCCGTTAGAGACTGAATCTTTGTCCTGAAAAATAGTTTGAAAGGTTCATTTGTCTTATTTTTTCCCCCCAAGACCTGTAAATGCAAAGCTCCCTCCTCTGAATGATGAAGATGAAGATGTGAGGCGGGAAAGACAGAGAATTCTTGATGGTGGAGGCCAGAATGACATCTTAGAAATCAAGGAGTTGACGAAGGTGAGAGTGTAAAGGTTACAATAGCTCACCTTCAGTTTTTTACAGCTTTATGTGCTGTAACCCTGCAGTTTGCTGACTTGCTTAATAAAAGGGCATATGTTCCCAAAACGTACATCTGTACCAAGGTTCTGTCGGTTTTATTTTAAAAACACCATGGAGATTTCTTAAAGAATTCTTACTGAGAATACTTTTGTAATATGAATTCCCGTTCTTGAATATATTGGTTTTATATGCTTACATTTATGTGTTAGTTGTTAAAACATACTAGTATTGTATATCTAGTCAAAACTGAGGTAGGGAGAATAAATGGTTGATTTTGAGTTTCATAGTCCAAAAAGCTGCTATATTGCCAGTGCCCAAGAGGGTCTATATCAGCTCTCCAGATGCCAGCATCTCCAAATTTTACTTTTTTGTAATCTGTATAGTATTTGCAATATTTTTATTACAAATTTCTACTCTGTGGAATTTAATTTTAAAAATGACTGCAACACATATATAGGTTGAATAAATGAAAAATTATGTAGATATTAATGAATAATATGGTTCTAAAAAGACAGGTTAAAAAGTTTAAGTTCACTTTTATTTTGAGCTTCAGAATCATTCAGAAGCCAGTTGTGACAAACACAGACCTAGGCTCTTAGCACATCAGATATGCCTATGGCTTAGGCTTATTGACAAATCTTATGTTGTGGTGTATGTGGTTTATAGTCCTGCCTTCCACAGTTGCTTGGGAGAGCTGTGAGTCACTGAGGCTCACGAATGTTTACATTTTGTTTGTTGCAGATATATAGAAGGAAGCGGAAGCCTGCTGTTGACAGGATTTGTGTGGGCATTCCTCCTGGTGAGGTAAAGACACTCTGTCTGTATTGTGTTTGTCCCTATTAATTCAGACTGTCTCTATCCAGTCAAGCGACAATGCTTGAGACGGGGTAAAAGCGGATTTTAAAGGCTTCTGTATTTATGCCAGGATGGAGCAATTAGTCATCGAGAAGAAAGGGACCCTGTATGTCAAGAGAATGATTTTAGAGAATCCAATGCAATTTAAGAAAAAGCATGGGGCTGGGCGCGTGATTCCTGCCTGTAATCCCAGCACTTTGGGAGGCCGAGGCGAGGAGATCACGAGGTCAGGAGATTGAGACCATCCTGGCCAACATGGTGAAACCCCGTCTCCACTAAAAATACAAAAATTAGCCAGGCATAGTAGTGTGTGCCTGTAGTGCCAGCTACTCAGGAGGCAGAGGCAGGAGAATAGCTTGAACCTGGGAGGGGGAGGTTGCAGTGAGCCGAGATTACGCCGCTGCAGTCCAGCCTGGTGACAGAGTGAGACTCCGTCTCAACAACAACAAAAACAGAAAAAGCATGCACATCTAAAACATGCGTTTGTGATACATTTCAGGTGGTGATGACATTCAAATTGATTTTTAAAAATAGATTTTCTCCTTTCTGGTTTCTGTTTGTGTTCTTTTATGCCCTTTTGCCAGAGTAGGTGGTGCAATTTGGATAGCTGGCTTTCATTACCGTTTTTCACACATTAACTTTGGCCTCAACCTGACAACTCAAATAATATTTATAAATACAGCCATACTTAAAATAGTCCCGTTATGAAATACATATTTAACTATCTATACGATGTCTTAAAACCAAGAAAATATTTGATTATTTGCTGATATTTCAGAATGAAGGTTTGAGGTGGTTACCTGTTAGGGGACATTTATATTCATGTTTTTAGAGTTTGCTTATACAACTTAATCTTTCTTTTTCAGTGCTTTGGGCTCCTGGGAGTTAATGGGGCTGGAAAATCATCAACTTTCAAGATGTTAACAGGAGATACCACTGTTACCAGAGGAGATGCTTTCCTTAACAAAAATAGGTGAGAAAAGAAGTGGCCTGTATTTTGCTGCAAAGACTTTGTTTTTAGTTTATTTAAAGAAATAGATTGTTATTTTTGATTACGGTGGTACTTTTAGAGTTCATAAAAATGTTGAAATGTAGTAAAGGGTAAAGAAGCACATAAAATCACCCACAATTTCAATATCTAGAGATAATCACAATTTACATTTTCCTTTCAGTCTCATTCTCTTCTTTTAACAGTTTTATTCAGGTATAACTTACATACCATATAATTTACTTGTTTTTTTAAGAGTACAATTCAGTGATTTTTGGTAAATTGAGAGTTTCGCAACCATCACCACAATCCAGTTTTAGAACTTTTCCATCACCCCAAATCTATCTTATATACACATATAAATGTGCCATAAAATTGAGATCATACTGTATATAGAGTTTAAAATTAGCTTTTATTGTTAATGAGTGTATTATGAATATTTCCCAATGGGTTACATTTCCTAAGATACAGAATTTTACATTGCTACATAAAATTTCCCTATGTACATGTACCTATAATTTATTTAATAAATTCCTTATAAATGTTGGACACATATTAGTTTCCATTTTTCACTATGTAAATATGTCCCTGTATACATCTTTTATTATTTCCTCAGGAACAATTCCTACAAAGTAAATTGCCCTCTCTAAAGAGCATACAAATTGACAGAGACACCATTAGGCCATTTTCTGAGACTGCACAGGTCACAAAGCAATCTGATCTTTGGGAATACAACTACATTTTACAGGCCTCTTAGATAATGTTACTCTAAGTACTTTACATGGGGTATCTCTGGGCTTTTTTTTTTTTTTTTTTTTTTGAGATGGAGTTTTGCTCTTACTGCCCAGGCTGGAGTGCAATGGGGCGACCTCGGCTCACTGCAGCCTCCACCTCCCAAGTTCAAGCGATTCTTCTGCCTCAGCCTCCCGAGTAGCTGAGATTACAGGTGCCTGCCACAATGCCCAGCTAATTTTTTTGTATTTTCAGTAGAGATGGGGTTTCACCATGTTGACCAGACTGGTCTCGAGCTCCTGACCTCAGGTGATCCACCTGCCTCAGCCTACCAAAGTTCTGGGGTTACAGGCGTGAGCCACTGTGCCTGGCTTCTCTGGACTTACTATGTGGCGAGATAGTATAAGGCAGTGGCTTTCAAAGTTTTCTGGCCATGACCCTTGTGGGAAATACATTTTGTATCTCAACCTTGTAAGTACACACAGACATGTAGACACTCACGTGTATAACCTAGAATTTCATAAAGCAGTACCTACTGTTACTAATTGTAGTGCACTCTGCTGTTTCTTATTCTACTTTATACTGCGTCATTAAAAAAGTGCTGGTCATGACCCACTAAATTTATTTCCCAACCCACTAATGAGCAATGACTCACAATTTGAACACACTGGATGGGGGATAGCCAATTGAAAAGAGCAAGGAAATTAGTGTATTCCTGATCTCCTCTCCTGTCTCTTACATTTTTGCAGTAGCAATGTAAAGGAGTCCTAAGAGAACAGACATTCTGGGAATAGCAGGCCTACCGCTGTACAACTGCTTTCCTAGGCTCGACCCTAGTACCAAGCTCCTGACGCATATAGCAGTGGCAGTCATAACCAGCTCATAGTAAGGTTTGGCACAGGGACTGGTTGTAAGAACTGATTTGGTTGGTATAGCTGTGAGGGCCCGGCACGGTGTCCATGTGTGCCTCAATCCTAATTCTGAAAAAGGCTGACCCTGGGAGTGCTAATTAGATACACAGAGAGGAATGCATGCTGCCGAAAGGCCAGGTTCATGGCGATGCCGCTGTGGCTGAGGTGCAGTCATCAGTCTGGAATGTGGACACGGAACTTCTCTCACATCTGATTCTTCACTTGACTGGATTCATAGAACCCAAAAGCCACCCCACCAACATAAATTGTGTCTCTAGGTTCTGTGTTGCTCACACCCAAAATTCCTGGGCCTTCTCGCTTGGTGCGTATGAATGGTGCATATGAGCGAAGTCTAGGATGGGGCCTGAGCGTTAAAGCCCCAGGGTAGTGTGACTGAGATTGTTGGTAAAGAGTGTGCAGTGGTTGGCATGACCTCCGAAATTCTGAAATGGGACTGCACCTGCAGACTGAAGGGTTGAGAGAGCCAGGGAGGTGCAAGGACTGGGCAGGGCAGAGGCAGGAACCCTGCCTGCCAGGAAGAACTAGCATCCTGGGGGCAGAGAGGCTGTCCTTTCAAGTAGCAGCAGATGTACTGGTATCTTTGTAATGGAGAAGCATACTTTCTAGGAACATTAGGCCAGATTGTCTGACCAGAGTATCTCTACCTGCTTAAAATCTAAGTAGTTTTCTTATCCTTTGCAGTATCTTATCAAACATACATGAAGTACATCAGAACATGGGCTACTGCCCTCAGTTTGATGCCATCACAGAGCTGCTGACTGGGAGAGAACACGTGGAGTTCTTTGCCCTTTTGAGAGGAGTCCCAGAGAAAGAAGTTGGCAAGGTACTGTGGGCACCTGAAAGCCAGCCTGTCTCCTTTGGCATCCTGACAATATGTACCTTATGGCTTTTCCACACAGATTGACTTCAGGCTGTTTTTCCTCATGAATGCAGCAGCACGAAATGCTGGTTCTTTGTATCTGCTTTCAGGGTGGGAACCTGTAATGGTGGTGGGGCAGGGCTGGGTGGGCAGAGAGGGAGTGCTTCTCCCTGTTTTGGCTCCTCACCAGTTGTTGGGTTACGATGATAGAATCTAGTCCTACTCAGTGAAAGAACTTTCATATATATATGTGTAGGACAGCATGATAAAATTCCCAAGCCAGACCAAAGTCAAGGTGCTTTTCATCACTGTAGGTTGGTGAGTGGGCGATTCGGAAACTGGGCCTCGTGAAGTATGGAGAAAAATATGCTGGTAACTACAGTGGAGGCAACAAGCGCAAGCTCTCTACAGCCATGGCTTTGATCGGCGGGCCTCCTGTGGTGTTTCTGGTGAGTGTCACTGTGGATTGAAAACTGTTGTTCCGGCCTGAGTGGAAAACATGACTTTTCAAAAGTCCTATACGTCCAGGGCTGTTGTGTGATTGGCTTGTCTCCCACCAGGGACAGCAGAGCCACCTTGGAGAAGCTGAGGGAAGCTTCTCCCTTGGCATACACTGGGAGCACTGTACCATGCCTGCAGATGTTCCCAAATAGAGACACTCCAAGCACTTTGTTTCTGAGTGTGATTGAGGCTGGATATGTGATTTGATCTTTCTCTGGAACATTCTTTCTAATCATCTTTGTGTTCATTCCCTGAAAATGGAGAGTGTAGACACAGCTTTAAAATCCCCAGGGTAGCAACTAGGTCATAGTTCCTTACACATGGATAGATGAAAAACAGATCAGACTGGGCAGTGGGCCTTGACCCTTTTTCTTTTGTAGACCAGAGCATTGATGTTATTACCAGAAGAAGCCTTTGAGGCTTTTATGTATTCCAGACCACTGGAATTTGTTTCTGTAAGGCTAACAATTGCAATATACTAGGGTAATCTGAGTGAGCTGGAATAAAAAAGAAGAAAAAAAAGGGATTTCACCCCAATCTTATACTGACTTCAATAGAGATTTCAGACAAAAAGTTATTTTAGTATATACTTATCAGTCATGAAAAGATAATTACAATTAAATGGGCTTTTTCCTTCCCTATTTATTTGGAGAAATTTGTTTAATTCTATAAAAAAGTACTCAGAATATCTGAGTTTCCTGCATCAATAAGACATTTATAATGATGACCTTGTTTACAAATGAATTTGGAACTTTAATTCTTTGGTCCATCAAGAATAACCAGAATGGTAAGTTAAAATTTAAGCTGTTTCAAAGATGCTTCTTCATTTAAAAGCAAATTTATCTTTGATTTTTTTTCCCCCAGCAAATAAGACTTATTTTATTCTAATTACAGGATGAACCCACCACAGGCATGGATCCCAAAGCCCGGCGGTTCTTGTGGAATTGTGCCCTAAGTGTTGTCAAGGAGGGGAGATCAGTAGTGCTTACATCTCATAGGTCCGTAGTAAAGTCTTGACTTCTACACTGTGGGCTGTTTTAACTTTCCAAGTAGAATATGCGATCATTTTGTAAAAATTAGAAAATACAGAAAAGCAAAGAGTAAAACAATTATTACCTGAAATTATACAACTTGGAAACAACTACTGTCTTCACTGGGCTGTTTATGTTTGCAGAATTTTCCTATGCAAATCTGTGTGTGTGTGTGTGTGTGTGTGTGTGTGTGTATGTATTCTTAGAAAAATGCATGCCCAGTATAAATATCGCTCTTTTTCACTTAATATATTGTAAACATTATTCCAGGTCAGTGCATTTAGGTGTCATTTCTTATAGCTGGATAGTATTCCATTAGGCTATACTCTCATTTAACTATTCCCCTTTTTGTAGACATTTGGATTATTTCCAGCTTGTTCACAATTGTAAACAGCACTACAGTGAACAGCATCATCCCTATATCCACATGTACTTGTAACAGGATATGATTCCCTAGGAAGCTGGAATGCTGGAAGTAACGGTGATGTTCTGATGGTTATAGAGAATCTCTCTAAAATGAAAACCTCTTTCTTTTTTACCGCAGTATGGAAGAATGTGAAGCTCTTTGCACTAGGATGGCAATTATGGTCAATGGAAGGTTCAGGTGCCTTGGCAGTGTCCAGCATCTAAAAAATAGGTAACAAAGATAATTTCTTGAGGATAGTGCCTAGTGAGAAGGCTTGATATTTATTCTTTTGTGAGTATATAAACGATGGCTCTAAAATAAAGGGAAATAAAACTGAGCAAAATGGTATAGCCGAAAGAATGAGGGCTTTGAAGTCAGAAGTGCATTTGAATTCTGTCTTTACCATTTACTGGTCTGTGACTCCTGGGCAAGTTACTTAACTTCTCTAAGAGTCGATCTCCCTGGAAGATCTACCTGCTGGCTTTGTTCTATAGATGAAATGAAAAAAATTTAAATGTGCCAGTACTGGTGAGAGCGCAAACTTTGGAGTCCAACACAAATGGGTTTGCATCCTGGCCCTACCAATTATGAGCTCTGAGCCACGGGCAAGTGACTAACTCCCTGGGCCTCAGTTTCTTTGTAACACCTGTCAGACTTCATGGGTCCAGGTGAGGATTAAAGGAGATCATGTATTTACAGCACATGGCATGGCGCTTCACATAAAATAAGTATTTAGTAAATGATAACTCGTTCCTTCTCTTAGAAACTTATTTCTGGGCCTGCCAGGGGCCGCCCTTTTTCATGGCACAAGTTGGGTTCCCAGGTTTAAATATTCTTTTAAATAGTTTCCTGGAGATCCTCCATTTGGATATTTTTTTTCCTGCTTTCAGGTTTGGAGATGGTTATACAATAGTAGTACGAATAGCAGGGTCCAACCCGGACCTGAAGCCTGTCCAGGATTTCTTTGGACTTGCCTTTCCTGGAAGTGTTCTAAAAGAGAAACACCGGAACATGCTACAATACCAGCTTCCATCTTCGTTATCTTCTCTGGCCAGGATATTCAGCATCCTCTCCCAGAGCAAAAAGCGACTCCACATAGAAGACTACTCTGTTTCTCAGACAACACTTGACCAAGTAAGCTTTGAGTGTCAAAACAGATTTACTTCTCAGGGTGTGGATTCCTGCCCACACACTCCTGCCCATAGGTCCAAAAGCAGTTTGTATGCTTGAATCGGTGCTTGAATTCCTGATCTACTATTACTACTAGCTATGCTTTTTACTAAACCTCTGAACCTGAAAAGGGAGATGATGCCTATGTACTGTATGGGATTATTGTGAGAATTTATTGTAATAACCATAATAACTACCATTTAGTGAGTACCTACCATGGGCCAGGCATTTTACTTGGTGCCTAATCTTATATAAATTAGATAATAAAGTACCAAATTGGTCCTGACACTTAATAGGTACTCAGTAAGTATTTTCTTCCCTCTTCCCTTTAATCAAGAGTGTATGTGCCAAAGTAAATGGATGACTGAGCAGTTGGTGATGTGGGGGGCGATATATAAAGTCAATTTTTGGCTGGGCATGGTGGCTTATGCCTGTAATCCCAGCACTCAGGGAGGCCGAGGTGGGCAGATCACGAGGTCAGGAGATCGAGATCATCCTGGTCAACATGGTGAAACCCCGTCTCTACTAAAAATACAAAAATTAGCTGAGCATGGTGGTGCGCACCTGTAATCTCAGCTACTTGGGAGGCTGAGGCAGGAGAATCGCTTGAATCCAGGAGGCGGAGGACAGAGTGAGACTCCATTTCAAGAAAAGAAAAAGAAAAAAAAAAGAAAGTCAATTTTTAAGTTGTTACTGCTTTTTTCAAGTATTCTTGCCTCCTTCACACACAGTTTTCTAGTTAATCTATTTATGCAATTCTGTATGCTCCTACTTGACCTAATTTCAACACCTGGAAAAATAGAACTAGAATAAACAATGAGCAAGTTGAGTGGTATTTACAAAGGTCCATCTTGATCTTTTAACAGGTATTTGTGAACTTTGCCAAGGACCAAAGTGATGATGACCACTTAAAGGACCTCTCATTACACAAAAACCAGACAGTAGTGGATGTTGCGGTTCTCACATCTTTTCTACAGGATGAGAAAGTGAAAGAAAGCTATGTATGAAGAATCCTGTTCATACGGGGTGGCTGAAAGAGGAACTAGACTTTCCTTTGCACCATGTGAAGTGTTCCGGAGAAAAGAGCCAGAAGTTGATGTGAGAAGTAATAAACTGGATACTGTACTGATACTATTCAATGCAATGCAATTCAATGCAATGAAAACAAAATTCCATTACAGGGGCAGTGCCTTTGTAGCCTATGTCTTACATGGCTCTCAAGTGAAAGACTTGAATTTAGTTTTTTACCTATACCTATGTGAAACTCTATTATGGAACCCAGTGGACATATGGGTTTGAACTCATACTTTTTTTTGTTGTTCCTGTGTATTCTCACTGGGGTTGCAACAATTATTCATCCAGTAATCATGGCCAGTGATTATTGATCAAAATCAAAAGGCATGCACATCCTCATTCACTAAGCCATGCCATGCCAGGAGACTGGTTTCCCGGTGACACATCCATTGCTGGCAATGAGTGTGCCAGAATTATTAGTGCCAAGTTTTTCAGAAAGTTTGAAGCACCATGGTGTGTCATGCTCACTTTTGTGAAAGCTGCTCTGCTCAGAGTCTATCAACATCATTAAATATCAGTTGACAAAATGGTGCCATGTGTGGCTAACATCCTGCTTTGATTCCCTCTTTGATGAGCTGTTCTGGTAGCAGTAACATGCAACAAAAATGTGGGTGTCTCTAGGCACAGGAAACTTGGTGCCATTGTTATATTGTCCTGTGCTTCGAGCCATGGGTCTACAGGGTCATCCTTATGAGACTCTTAAATATACTTAGATCCTGGTAAGAGGCAAAGAATCAACAGCCAAACTGTTGGGGCTGCAAGCCGCTGAAGCCAGGGCATGGGATTAAAGAGATTGTGCGTTCAAACCTAAGGAAGCCTGTGCCCATTTGTCCTGATTGTCGACTCACATGGTACACTGCATCTCAAGATGTTTCTTATCTGACACAAGTATATTATTATTTCTGGCTTTTTGAATTAATCTAGAAAATGAAAAGATGGAGTTGTATTTTGATGAAAATCTTTGTACTTTTTAATGTTATTTGGAATTTTAAGTTCTATCAGTGACTTCTGAATCCTAAAATGCCCCCTCTGTAGAACCCTGTGGTATAGAGGAGTATGGCTACTGCCCCACTATTTTTATTTTCTTATGTAAGTTTGCATATCAGTCATGACTAGTGCCTAGAAAGCAATGTGATGGTCAAGATCTCATGACATTATATTTGACTTTGTTTCAGATCATTTAGGATACTTTTAATCTCAATTCATCAATCAAGTATTTTTTGGGTGTATGCTGTAGCTGAAAGAGTATGTACGTATGTATAAGGATAGAGAGAAATTAAGTCTCAGTAGATTGTGCCATGTTATTCAGCTCACTGGTTTACAAATATAGGTTGTCTTGTGGTTGTAGGAGCCCACTGTAACAACATTGGGCAGCCTTTTTTTTTTTTTTTTTAATTGCAACAATGCAAAAACCAAGAAAGTATAAAGGTCACAAGTATAAACAATGAATTTTTCAACAGGGAAAACAGCTAGCTTGAGAACTTGCTGAAAAACACAACTTTTGTTTATGGCATTTAGTACCTTCAAATAATTGGACACCCCATTAAATTTGACAATCTCAAATTTTTCATCTCTTCAATCACTAATCAAGAAAAATATAAAAACAACAAATGCTTCCATATGGAGCATTTTTCAGAGTTTTCTAACCTGGGCTTATTTTTCTAGTCAATAAACATTTTTTAAAATAGTTTCACTAATGCTTACTGTTAACTGTCTTGAGAGAAAAGAAACATAGGAGAGAACTATTGTTTGGCCAAGTTCAAGTGATCTTTCAATATCGTTACTAACTTCTACCTTTTCCAAAATTTGAATATTAACTCTAAAGGTGTAAGACTTCAGATTTCAAATTAATCTCTATATATTTTTTAAATTTACAGAATATTATATAACCCACTGCTGAAAAAGAAAAAAAATGATTGTTTTAGAAGTTAAAGTCAATGTTGATTTTAAATATAAGTAATGAAGGCATATTTCCAATAACTAGTGATATGGCATCATTGCATTTTATACTATCTTCAAAAATATAGAATTTATAGAATAATTTCTCCTCATTTAATATTTTTCAAAATCAAACTTCTGTTGGTTTTCTCATTTTACTAAAATCATATTCTAATTCTTCATTATAGTAAATCCATGAGCAACTCCTTACTTCAGTTTCTCTGACTTCAAGGCCATATTTTAAAAAATCAAAAGGCACTGTGAACTATTTTGAGGAAAACACAACATTTTAATACAGATTGAAAGGATCTCTTCTGAAGCTAGAAACAATCTACGGTTATACATCTTCATTAATACTGTGTTACCTTTTAAAATAGTAATCTTTTACATTTTCCTGTGTAAACCTAATTGTGGTAGAAATTTTTACTAACTCCATACTCAATCAAGCAAAATTTCTGTGTATTCCCTGTGGGATATAACTATGTGAGTTTCAGAAATTCTCAAAATACATGTCCAAAAATTTCTGCTTGTGCATCTTTTGGACACCTCAGAAAACTAATTAACAACTGTGAATATGGTAAATATAGAAGAAAATAATAAGCCCTCTATACATAAATGCCCAGCACAATTCATTGTTAAAAAACAACCAACCTCACACTACTGTATTTCATTATCTGTACTGAAAGCAAATGCTTTGTGACTATTAAATGTTGCACATCATTCATTCACTGTATAGTAATCATTGACTAAAGGGATTTGTCTGTGTTTTCTTCTTGTGGTTGTATATATCAGGTAAAATGTTTTCCAAAGAGCCATGTGTCATGTAATACTGAACCACTTTGATATTGAGACATTAATTTGTACCCTTGTTATTATCTACTAGTAATAATGTAATACTGTAGAAATATTACTCTAATTCTTTTCAAAATTGTTGCATCCCCTTTTATAGAATGTTTCTATGTCGATAAGGATTTAGGTATGCTATTATCCCTTCTTATACCCCAAGATGAAGCTGTTTTTGTGCTCTTTGTTCATCATTGGCCCTCATTCCAAGCACTTTACGCTGTCTGTAATGGGATCTATTTTTGCACTGGAATACCTGAGAATTGCAAAACTAGACAAAAGTTTCACAACAGATTTCTAAGTTAAATCATTTTCATTAAAAGGAAAAAAGAAAAAAAAATTTGTATGTCAATAACTTTATATGAAGTATTAAAAAGTGCATATTTCTATGTTGTAATATAATGAGTCACAAAATAAAGCTGTGACAGTTCTGTTGGTCTACAGAAATTTACTTTTGTGCATTTGTGGCACCACCTACTGTTGAAGGGTTATAAAGCCATTAGAAAAGTAGAGGGGAAGTGATTTGGATCAAAAGGAAAAACTTGAGAAAAGATTCAAATGTTCCCTTAATCATAAAAGAGAACTGAGGGGGGACTACTCGTAAATAAAAGGTTGTTTTGTATTTTCATGTTGGTTAAGATACTGAGTAACTGGTATTAAGTGTTAGAGGTTTTTAGATAAATACTCTGCTTAATGATTGTGAAGCTGCACTGAGATTTCTGAAAATGCTCTGTAGCTGAGCTTATTTAATAAATGTTCACTTGGTATAGGGGAAGCTACAAAGGCAGCCTTCAGTGCCCTTTTTTAAATTCAACCAAAAATATAAGGACACGATGTAGCAGGTATACTGGCAAGGTGCTGGGGATGGTGGCAAGGGTGAGCAGGAAGGAGTAGATGTGGAAACAGAAATGATACTAATATCAGTGATTCTTTTCTCCTGTAATAAGTGCTGTGCAGACAACATAGGAGTAGTGCTGAGACAATGTAAATGTATTTTTCATAGCTCATTAGGAATCAGTTTCAGAAAAAGATGTCTGCTTATTTTGCTACTTGAATCCCTGTCAAACAGTCCTTTTGAGGCAGTACAAGAGGCTGGCTCTATTTGTGACCCCTTGGGAACGGCTGTGACAAAGTGTCGTGAGCAGTCCTTTTTCTGTGGCACAGATCTGAACTTTGTGTGCAGAAAAATCTTGGCTTCAAGTGAGCTTGAAGTGAGCATCAGCATCACAACTTCATCCTCCTATCTTGAAGTTTACGTTATAGTGACTCTAATGAAATCATAGAACACTGTTTCTTTGTGAACAATGACAAGGGAGAAGAAAAAACTTTATTGAAAAATAAAAAGGCAGGTAATTGAGATGAAAATGTTACCCATGAGTTTTGTTTTTGTTTTTGTTTTTTTGAGAAACAGACTCTCGTTCTGTCATCCAGGCTGGAGTGCAGTGGCATGATCTTGGCTCACTGCAACCTCCGCCTCCCGGGTTCAAGCAATTCTCCTCAGCTTCCCAAGTAGCTGGGGCTATAGGCATGCGCCACCATGCCAGCTAATTTTTGTACTTTTAGAAGAGATGGGGTTTCACTATATGTTGGCCAGGCTGGTCTCAAACTCCTGACCTCAGGTGATCTGTCCACTGTGGCCTCCCAAAGTGCTGGGATTACAGGTGTGAGCCACCTCGCCTGGCCCTACCCATGAGTCTTGACCAAAATATTCTTCTATCTGTAGAAAAGCCCAAAAGAACTTTCCCAGATTCAAAAAACTTGACGCTTTGTAATGGTAATGTCTACATTAAGTACGAAAAAAACCCTTAGCTTCAGTTTTCAAGTGTTTACTGTGTTGTTATACACTTCATTTAATTCTCAATACCTGCCCTATAAGGTAAAAAGTACCATTTTACATACGAGTACATTACAGCTCCGTGGATAAGAAACTCATCCAAAAGTACCGGGACAGTCAAGTGGCAGAGGGTTCTTTTTGTTGAAGTTAGGTATCAGTTAAAATCGACCTTGTAAAATCACATCAGCATCAATATACATTAACAAATAGTTATTGAACTTTATTGTATGCCAGATATTTCTCTAGGTACTGGGGGTACAATGTAGAAGAAAATAGAATTCCTGCTCTAATGAATTTATATTTCAGTGGTGAAAGATGATGTGTGGACAAACACACCTAATATATTTTGACAGCAGTCGGTGCTAAGAAGAATATAAGACATGGTAATCGGATAACAATGGAGAGAAGTCAGAGATGGCCTTTTCTGAGGAGTGACATGCTGAGAACCGAATAAAAAGAGCAGGAGCAACCTTTCAAGGTGGGTGCGAAGAATATTCCCGCAAGAAAGAATAAGTGTTGCAAAAGCCCAGTGGTAAAAAGCTTGGCAAGCTGCGGGGGTAAAAGAGATATCTGTACTAATGTCTCTTGTATTGAGTTAGCAAGGAGAAGAGTGGCAGGGGGTGAAACTGGAGAGACAGCAGGGACCACATCTCACAGGATCTTGCCAGCCTTTTTAAGGTATTTGGATTTTATTGTTAGTGCAACAAGGAGCCACTGGAGAGTTTTAAACAGTAGTGGTGTGACCTACTTTGTTTCAGAAAGAACACTGGCTACTATGGGAAGAAAGGACAGTAGGAAGACTAATAGGTAATGGTGGATTGGACTAAGATGGTAGCAATAGATAGGGAGCTATGGTAACGTTCAGTATCCACTTTGGAGACAGATCCAGCAGGACTTGCTGACAGACTCCATGTAGGGACCGAGGGAAAGAGAGCTAGCAAGGTGACTTCTAGTTTGTGACCTGAACTAGGTAGATGGCTGTGTTAAAAATGGAGTTGGTATTTCAGTCTGAAGCTCAGGGGCAATGATGGAAAATAAGATAAATGTGTGCAAGTTGGCTGGGCATGGTGGCGCATGCCTATAATCCCAGCACTTTGGGAGGCCGAGGCGGGTGGATCACCTGAGGTCAGGAGTTTGTGACCAGCCTAACGTGGTCTCTAATAAATACAAAAAAATAGCCGGGCATGGTGGCGCATGCCTGTAATCCGAGCTACTCTGGAGGCTGAGACGAGAATCGCTTGTACCTGGGAGGCGGAGGTTGCAGTGAGCAGAGATCGCACCACTGCACTCCAGCCTGGGCAACAAGTGTGAAACTCCATCTAAAAAAAAAAAAAAGTGCAAGTTATCGGTATGTATATATTTAACCCTTGGGACTGAATGAGATTACCTGGAGAGAATGAAGAGAGAGAACATTCTTGAGCTTGAGATCCTATAACATTTAGAAGAGAAGCCAGCTAGGGAAATTGAGAGGGACTGGCCAGTGAGAAAGAGGAAAATCTGAAGAGTATAATGCCATACGTTGTAACTCAGAGAATTTTGTTTCAGGAAGGCAGAAGTTGTCAATTATATCCAACACTGCTGAGAAGATGAGTAAGGAATGTAAATGAGTAAAGGCAGGAATGGCTATTGAATTTGAGAAGACAGTGGTCCTTGGTGACCTTCAAAAGAGTCATTTCAGCATGACGAGGATGCAGACCTAACTGGAATAGAGTTTCAGGGAAGAATGAGAGGCAAGGAAGGGGAGACTGCAAATATACACAAATCTATATTTTTGCTTTGAAGGGAAGCAGAAAACAGGACAACAGCTGGTTTACAGAACTTTTACTTGGATCCTTTCCTTGTCTGTTAATAATATAGGCTGTACCTGGGCATCATCTTGCCCTTCCTTTTTGATTTTGCTGTTTTGCTTTTAATCCTACAGGCATTTCTTCTGGCAGGAGGCTTGTACACAATCTGGCTGGTTCACAACCACTACGGCCTTGACCTTTCAAGGCAGAAGCCTATGATTCAAAAACTTCCATTTCTTCCAATCAACTATTGTAAAACTCATTTTGTCTAATGCCCATACTCCTTTATCTCAGGGTCCTGGGCCAACTATCTGTCACTAAAGAAAACAAACCATTTCCTTCTCCTGGGGGAATGTGCTTCTTTCAAGAAGATGCTTAGAGAACAGACATTCTAGGTGACAGCAGTTATGAAAGAGGTCTCGCTAATGAACGTAACTCTTCTTCCAACATACTCCAGGTTCACACTCCTTTGATGACAGAAAGTACTACAACTTCAGTTGCAACACTACTCAGGCTCATAGGATTTACTCAGTAGGTTAAAAGCTGGTGCTGAGAATGAAGTTCAGAGTTTGAGTCTACAAGTGGCATTTGCTTATCCTTTGGGAGTTCTGTGGCAGCAGGTAGAACCGAATCAGATTGGTTGCATATCTGTTTCTCTTCCTGGAAATACAATTCAAATACCTTCATAGTCTGTGACAGCAACTTATAACCAACAGGCAATGGTATTATTTTTATTGACGGCACCCCCCCATAGCCAGAACTTCTACTGAGTCATTCGCCGTGTCTTCCAGGAATACTTTACAGATGTAGTAGTGAGGCACCTCCAATAACAATTATGTAATCTACTGTTAACGGCGGCACAAAATGAGAGTGGAGTAATGATGTACTTCTTTTTTCAAACTCACACATCCCATATGTTAATTCAGTCAACAAGTACTTAGGGCTTATCACATGCCAGGCAAAGGTAATATGACAATAATGAAAACAAAAACCCTTACTGTCACAGAATTTGGTTTCTAGTGGGAAGAGACATACATTAACAAATCATATATAAGTAAAACATTAATTATGGTGATAACAGAAAAATAAAGCAGGGGAGAGGGATAGTGTCTTAGTTCAGGTTGCTGTAACAACAGTACCATAGATTGGGTGGCTTAAACAACAAACATTTTTTTTCTCACAGATCTAGTGGCTGGGAAATCTAAGACCAGGGTGCCAGCATTATTAAGTTCTGGTGAAGGCTTACATTCTGGTTTCCTCTCAGAGAGGACTCTTTATGCCCTTACAAATGCACCGATTCTCTTACCCACATGACCTCATCTAAAACTAACTCCCAAAGGCCCAACCTCCTATGTTGAGATTAAGGCTTCAACATGTGAATTTTTGGGGGACAAAAACTTTCGGTCTCTAGCAGATAGGGGCCACCGTGGGAGGAGATTACAATCTTAAATAGGGTTGTCAGGGAAGGCTTCATGGGGGCAAAGACGCGAGGAGGCACGGAAATGATCCATGCAGATGCTTGTCTAGGGAAGAGCATTCCAGGCAGAAGCAGTGGGAATGGACCCTCAGGTAAGAGCACGTTTAGCAGGTTCAAAGAAAAGCCTCTTAGGCCAGGTCTGGAGTGAGGATGGAAAAGGTAACAGGACAGATCATGTAAAGACTTGTAGGCCACAGTTAGAGGCTTGGACAATTATTCTGAGGAAGAGATGAAGGTATTGGGAGGGGCTGTTGAGCAGAGGAGTGATATGATCTGCTTTATATTTTAGATTATTCTGACTGCTATGTTGAAAGTAGGGTTGAGAGCAGAGGGGAAGGGCAGGACACCAGTTAAGAGCACTTCCCAAAAATCCAGATGAGGATTGGCTTGAACCAGGATAGTTGCTATAGGGATGTGAAGCAATCAAATTCTAGCTATCTGGGATCTGCTGACAGGTACACAATGGTGTGAGAGAGAAAAGGCAGTGTGAGAATGACTCTGAGGTCTGTGGCCTGAGCAAAACAGAAAGCTGGAGTTGCCATTAGCTGCGATCAAGTTTCTGGGTAAAGATCAAGAGCTCAGTTGTGGACAAGAGGGGTGTGAGATTTCTAATAGACCTTCAGGTGGTGGTGTGGGGAACACACCTGGATGTAACGAGCCTGGAATTCAAATTCACATGTGTGAATTTGAAAAAAGAAACGAGGTGTGGACTGGAGCCATCCACACACAGATAGCATTTGAAGTCACAAAACTGGGGGTGATGACATAGGGAGTAAGTATAAATAGAAAAGAGAAGTGGTCCAAGGACTCAGTCCTTACATTGGAGGTCAAGGAGACAAGGTGGAGACTAGGAGATATGAAGGCCTGTGCAGTCAGTGTTGCAGAGAAACGAAGAAACTGTTTCCAGAAGAAAGGAGAGGTCAACTGCTAACAAGTCAAGTAAAATGAGAACTGGGAAATGAGTTGACAAGCACAATTTGGCTGGCGTGATCAGAGAATGTTTAAGAGATAATGTGAGGGAAGAAAATGGAGGCAGGAAGTATGAACTACTTTTTTGAGTCATATTGTAAAGTAAAAAAAAGGGGTAATTTTATTCTTTTTTTTTTTTTTTAAGTATAGGAAAAATAATAGTATATTCGTATGCTGAGGAGAAGAATCCAGTTGAAGGGGAATACTGTGGCTTCAGGCAACAAGAGAGGAAAACTGCCTGAGCCACATCCTTCAGCAAGTGAGTGTTCAAGTGGAGGGTTTGTGTTTGCTTGGCGCACGGGTCATTCATCCACAGTGTGAGGAGAGAAGCAGGGCATGCGGGGTTGGCTGCAGAAAGCGGGCAGAGGTCGGGGTGGGAACTTATGAAGACTGTTCTGATTGTTATTTTCTCTGTGAAGTAAAAGGAAAGGTCATTGGCTAAGAATGAAGATGGAAGAGTAGGTGCTGGGAGTCATTGAAGAGAATGAAAGAATGAATAAAATAGAGAAAAACATAATGCTATGATATAAACCTGTACATGTAAATTACTTTCCTCTTCAAATTAGACCCCCTGGAAGGCAAATTTCTGTCATGTTAAGTTTTAGAAAAAGTCATAATCTACTTGGAGCTAAGTATGAAGAATACGGTATATGATTTAAACCATGTAATTCTATTTTTGCTTAATCCAGAGAAGCCTTTAAGATAACTTAGAGTATATCCATTAAAAAAGATAAAAATGTCAGCTTCCCCTTCCTTTTAAATAAGGTATGGATCAAAAATAATTGATATTCATAACCCTAAGGTACCATAACATTCTGAAGCAAAATATTAAATGTCTTCTGTAGTATTTGTTAACGTTTAATTTTAATAGGTAATTTGTGTGTAATTAACCACATACTTATGCCCCAACTATTTCACGTAAATGTGAGATGTCTTAGGCCTCTTTGAACTCTGCATGGAAAAGAATGCTGAGGTGGCATGTCTGTTTAAGCTGCCACTGCCTGCCTCTCATAAATAATATCTGACATTGCATAATAGCCCAGATAAACTGCAGATCGCTTACAGCCTGATAAATAAGAGGAAACTATAGATTTTGTTTTCCAAATTTCCCTTGGACAGCTAATTCACAATTTACTATTTTATAGCTATAAAATTTAAAAAATATAAAATAATATAGCTGTAAATATAGACTATCAGGAGACAGTCTGTAAAAATGTAAAAATAATATAGCTGTAAATATACACTATCAGGAGTACCAAATCTAGTTTTGTAAGGTAGAGGCATCAAGTAAAATGGAAATGAAAGATGTTTCAAGGAGAACTCCAGGATATCTGTGGCAGTACTAAACAAACCTTCCTTCTCAGGTTCCCAGCATGCTATTTTATTGATGCAACTTAACATTTTCAATAAAGTTGGTAAATTATCACTATATTACTGTCTTAAAGCAACATAGTAAGAGCTCTAGAGATCATATAAGTATAAAATATGAATTTAAAACAACAATGAATATGTAGGATTTTTATTAGGGCAAGCATTTCCATAACCACAAATATTTCTTTAAAACAAATAAATGTCCCAAGATCTCTGTTAGTGATCCGAACTAAGTAGAAATTAGTAAAATTAATTATAAATGAACAATTTTAGCACATAAACCAACAAGACTTTCTAGATTTTTGACACTGTGACCCAACTGCATTATTTTCCAAGTTAGAATGACTAATAATTAATGTAAAAGCAATAATTAATACAGATGACATTGTACTTTTCCACAGTAAAGAAATAAACAATCTAATATTTTTATAAATCCCATTTGATATCACAAAATAAACTTCACTAAGCAATTTTTTAAAAAAATCTTAGGAAAAGTAGATATGATGAAAAGACAGGTATTTTATATAAATAATTCAAAAATACTGTCGGGCAAGGAAATGTAAAATCCTTATTTGAATAAAAGAAAATTCTATAAAGCAATGAGTTATCAAAATACAGAAGAGGTATTCTAAAACAAATAAAAAACCAAGTAGTGACAACTACTTCTAATGTGTAACATACTGAAATGCCAAAGTGAAAGTGAACTGAACTATTTCTTAAAGCAGTAGAGAAGATGTAACTTTCAAAAATTCGGGAAGCATAGCAAATTAACTAATTAACTTACCATCTCCTTCAAATAAAAGCGAGAACCACTTGGGAGAATTTAAGCACCATTAGCAGACACATCTTAGAGCAGTTAATGAAATGTTTTGTATTTCAGTAGAAAACTATTTCAACGGTGAAAACGATGTAGGAATCAGAAGCATATTCTGCTGAGATACTAGGTAGTTGACACTTTCCCGAACTAGAAAAACATTTCATAAGAAGGCATATAGTTATTGACTGAATCACATTTGTTCTAAAAATAATTCATGCCTAGTCAAACAGCTTACCAGCTGCCACAACTCTGGGATCCTCATGGGACTTATGTCTCCCAGCTGCACGACTATCTGCACTCTCGTTCCACCAAAGAACATGAACTGCAGAAACAAACCACAAGTAGTTTCTGAACTATATGGCAATAGCAAATAAGAAATATTGAAAAAATGAATCAGAAATGTTGTCTTATTCTTTAAATCAAATTAGTGATATCAAGAAGGCAAAACTAAACATGTTAGTGATAAGATTTCAGAGGGATCAGAAATTTGGGATATAAATTTTTAAGTTAAACTGGAAACATAAGGCTGAAGAGAGAATGCAAAGAAACACAGCTTAAGGTACAATTAAGACTAGACCCAACTTCCTACTATTTTTTTTCTTAAAAAGCAGATTATAAAAAAACTGTTTACTGTAGAAAATTTAGGTGATACAAAGAAAAAATAAAAATTAGTATAACAAGTGCCTAGATAAACCTTTATCAACATATGCCGTGTTTCCTTTAAAAAAAAATGAGTAAAACAAATTAGGGTCTTACTGTATATTAGTAACAGATTTTTAAAAATGTTGCAACAATGTGATAGTTTTCTATGTCAATGATATTAATTTTCAATGACAAAGACAACAAAAACAATCATGACAAAAACAAAAATTGACAAATGGTATCTAATTACACTTAAGAGCTTCTGCACAGCAAAAAAACAAAAAAACAAAAAAACCACAAACTATCAACAGAGTAAACAGACAACCTACAGAATGGGAGAAAATTTTTTGCAAACTATGCATCTGACAAAGGTCTAATATCTAGCCTCTATAAGGAACTTAAACAAACATATAAGAGAAAAACAAAGAACACCATTAAAAAGTGGGTAAAGGGCATGAACAGTCACTTTTCTAAAGGAGACATACATGAGGCTAACAAACTTATGAAAAAATGCTCAATATCACTGATTAGAGAAATGCAAACATAAGCCACAACTAGATACCATCTCACACCAGTCAGAATGGCTGTTACTAAAAAGTCAAAAAATAACAGATGCTGGTGAGGTTATAAAAAAAGGGAACATACCCTGTTGATGGGAGTGTAAATCAGTTCAACCACTGTGGAAAGCAGTATGGTGATTCCTCAAAGTGCTAAAAGCAGAACCGCCATTCGACCTAGCAATCCCATTGCTGGATATACACCCAGAGAAATATCAGTCATTCTACCATAAAGACATGTGCATGTGAATGTTCACTGCAGCACTATTCACAACAGCAAAGACTTGGAATCTTTTCATGAAAACCTATATCCCTATCAACAACAGATTGGATAAAGAAAATGTGGTACATACACACCATGGAATACCATGCAGCCATAAAAAAGAACCAGATTATATCTTTTGTGGGAACATGGATGGAGCTAGAGGCTATTATCCTCAACAACCCAACGGAGGAAAAGAAAACCAGATACCACGTGTTCTAACAGGTGGAAGCTAAATGATGAGAATTTATGAACACAAAGAAGGAAACAACAGACACTGGGGTCTACTTGAGAATGGAAGATGGGAGGAGAGAGAAGATTAGAAAGATAACAATTGGGTACTGGGCTTAATACCTGAGTGATGAAATAATCTGTACAACAAACCCCCGTGACATGGGTTTACCTAGGTAACAAACCTTCACATGTACCCCGTGAACCTAAAATAAAAGTTTAAAAAAAAAAAAAACAGCAGTTCAGCATTTGAAAAAGGCTCCATAAAGTATTAACATTGTAAAAAAATAAGATGTAAAATAAGATGTTTATAGGTTTTTTCAGTCCTATAAACAACAAACTCTAAAAATTTGGAAATAAAAATTAAAACAGGTACCATAATGAAAAAGAGAGACAAACTGATCTAATATACATGGCAACTTCATAGAACAAATGGACAACTGTACCTCTGTTGAGTTCTCCATATTCTGTGTGGAAAACACCAACTACTTTTGTGTAGCCTAAATTGACATGGGCATTAATTGCTCTTTTAAATGCATCACCCCACAGAGCTGGTCCACCAGGTTTCATCTGAAAAACAGCTAGTTCATAGACTCCTAGAATAGGGAGAAAAATAATTATTTTACAGAGGACATTCAAACAATTTCTAACCAGGTTTTCTTGATTCCATTAGAAGGCTAACCAATGAATTTAGAGGATAATCCATGTATACATACATATGCACTCATATTTATTAATTCTCTGCATTATTTTTCTTTGCTTTTATGTTTAGAAAGTCTTTGTCCATGTTGAAGGGTCAGTTGTTAAAATTAATCATAAAGAAAATAAAGAAAAAGGACTGGAAGCTATATATAAACTACACTCTGAAATATTTTTAATCTATAAAATTTGTCAAAAAAACAGATATTGAGAATTTATAATGGAGCAGAATTTTCAAGCTGCCCGTCTACACTTTAAAAAAAAGAAATGAGTAAGAGAAGTACTTTCTGATATCCTACATTTCTTTCTCCTTTTCAATTTTGAGAGGAAATAACTTTTTCCTTTGTATTATTTTCCCCTATAGGATTCTATTTCTAGCTGACCCAAAGTCATGTCTGAGCCTTTAAGGAAAAAAAGAAAACCCTCAAGGAGATGGTTTTATTCTTCTTAAATATCGAGGTAAATGCTTAAAAACCATTCTACCTTCTGGCCAGAAGTATAAGATGGTTGGAGAGAAAGAAACCAGAGGACAAGGTAGATTGGAGAAGAAAAAGGAAAGAAATACAAAGTTACTAAAGAATTATGAACAACATAGAGGAAGGGAACTATTTGTAAGACCTGACACTGCGAAGCCAACTGTTTTACTTAGTGCTGAAAGCTAAGGGGAGTTTTAAGTACATTAGAATCCAAACAAGACTTTTCAAATCTCGTATAATCTAAAATAAAATCAAAGTTGAGTTTATGGGAGACATAAAATGAAATTTAAATTAGTTTATGCTTTTTGAATCTGACCTCTGTTTAAAATTAGACTGAAGTAATTATTTCCTTTAGTGAGCAAGAAGTGAAATCAGGAGGAAGACAAATCTTTTCAAACTGAGAAACAAGAAAGAGGAAGACACAAAAGTTAAACTACAATAATGTAGCTTAACAGTGTAAGTTAATTCATTTCCCCAAAACAGTCAGTTTACAAAGATATACTTAATGATTTAAGATTAGCTGAATTTGTGGAAAAATACTTTTATATTAAAGGTTTATACATTTTAAAACTGTGACAAAATTTCATAAACTACGACTCATCTACCTACACCTGTTTTCCTAGCTCCCAAGCCCCACTTTTTCACCTGTACTGACCATGTCAACTTTTGTTAGGCATCTGCTAGATTTCAATTCGGAAAAATACTTCACTTTTTTGTGCTCAATGTTTTAAGGATAAGCAAAGAGCTCTAGAGCTCCAATTCTCTCTCTCTCTCTCTCTCTCTCTTTTTTTTTTTAAAGATTGAATCTCGCTCTGTTGCCCAGGCTGAAGTGCAGTGATGCGATCTCGGCTCACTGCAACCTCTGCCTCCTAAGTTCAGGCAATCCTCCTGCCTCAGCCTCCTGAGTAGCTGGGACTACAGGCATGCACCACCACACCCAGCTAATTTTTGTATTTTTGGTAGAGATGGCGCTTCACTACATTGACCAGGTGGATCTTGAATTCTTGACCTCAAGTGATTCGCCCGCCTCGGCCTCCCAAAGTGCTGAGATTACAGGTGTGAGCCACCGTGCCCAGTCTCTAATTCATTTTTATCTCCAGACTCACCATATATTATTATAGAAAACAAAGAGTTACATATTTTTTTCCTATAGAACTTTACTTTTTATAGCTTTAGATTTATAGTATTGTACTCATTAAAACTCATAGTCTATAAGAGGGAAGAACTCACCTTCTTTTGGAGGCTTTTCTAATTTGGACCATGGTATGAGGTAAGTAATTTCCGTCTCTTGTTTATCAATGTGAGCCAAATTTGGAATGATAGATTGTTCTTGCCATTCCTTACAGTTGGCTAAGGCTTTCCGAACTTCAGCTCGATGAGCAAAATTATCTATGGGAGGAAAATAATTAAGAAAAAATTTTTTGATTCAAAATCGCCCATATTTTTACTTAAATTTTACTCAGTTCAGCAAATGTGCAAGGCCATATGGGGACCCCATGTTATTATGTCACTGGAGATGCCAACATAAATATATGTGACAACTGCTCTCACGTTACTCATGGTCTAAAAGGGGAGTTGAAATGTGAAAAATGAACTTAATTGACATAGAATGGGCTTTATAGGCTCGAAGACTTTCTTAGGAAGTTGTGTGAATTAGGTTCATTATTCAATCTTTCTGTGCCTCAGTTTCTTATTCTGTGAAGAAAATAGTATAACACCTACCTCCAGGGTTGTTGTGAGGATTAAATGAATTAATACATGAAAAGAGCTTAGAATGGTGTTTGGCACCTTAGTTAGTACTCAGTATATGTTAACGATTCTTATTAATAAATGGAAGCATTTGATTTATAAAGACAATTTTTCCTTGGTGGTCGGTGATTAGGTCAAGCTACACTTTGAATCAAATTTAACATAAATGAAATTAAGATGCACTTTTTAAGCCTATTTTTTGAACAGCAGCTCCCAATGAAATAGTGCTGATTCTTTTATTTATTGTCAGTAGTTCTTTTTCTCCACAACTTATTTCTCTTCTTTCTAAGTTACCCAAACAGGTATATACATTTACCAAGATATGGGCCTTGTATAGTCAGCCCTCCCTCTCCACAGGTTCTGCATCTATGGATTCAACCAACTGCAGATTAAAAATATTCTTAAAAATACAAGTGAAATAATATAGTATAACAACTACTTACATAGTATCTATATTGTATTAGGGATTAAAAGTAATCTAGAGATGACTTACAGTATATGGAAGGATGTGTGTGGGTTTGATGGAAACACTATGCTGTTTCATATAAGGGACTTCAGCTGATTTTGGTATCTACAGGGGGTCCTGGTACCAACCTCCTGCAAATACAGAGGGAAAACTATAGTATATTTACTTTTAGGGCCTCCTAAGACTAATAGTAAATGAATTATATAATTTATGCTGAGGACAAGGAATAACACCTATCTTACAACTTAAGTCAATTATAAAGACTTTATGAGCAGTTTAATGGGACATGATTAAACTTGTGGCTCATCTAACGCACATAAGTGGATTATATATGTGGTTTATCTAAAGCATATAGATGAATTATAAAGACTTTATTAGTAGGTTTTTCAATGGGACATGTTTCAACTTATGGTTTATCTAAAGCATAAGTTATGTTTTAATAGGGTCTGTTTTATTAACAGGGAAAAACTAAAGAGTTACGTCAAGTATAGAATGAACTCTTTTCATATTAAATTACTTTATGACTATTAACTTTGGACACTGATCACTAAACAGTAAATGAAATTATTAAAAGTTCTTTAGGTACCCTCAAGTCCTGATGTGGACTGTTAAGAACAGACATGGGAGTAACAAACATTCTGGGGATTCTTGTTACTTGTTCTCCTTCCTCTACTAAATCAGAGGTAGGTTTATGGGAAGAACTTTCTCTCATTCCTTTTCCTCCCTAGGGTAGTACGAAAGTGAATTCCTTGAAACTCTGGGGTACATAAATGAAAAAAAAAAGTGGTCTCTAAAAATAACCGAATTATTAAATCTCAGAGTTGGGTAAGGCTTAAAAGTTAACGATCATCCTTTAAAAACCTCCATTTTTATAAAACTCCCAAATGGGTGAATTATTTCTGCAAAAATGCTGATATCCAGCCCTAGCTGTAATAATAATAAGAAAAAAAATTCTCTTATCCTAATGATACCCTTTTACCCAAGAACTGCAATTAGGAGTCTCACAAATTTGCAAAGCATTCTCCCTTATTTAGCCAGTATTCCATCGTAGTCAATACCATATATATTAGTTACACATTTAAAACATTTTTATTAAATATACATGCCTTTTGGCAGGCCCAACTGTGATCTTAACCCACTTGAACATTTACAATTACTGCTTTAAATTTTCACGAGCTACCTTTATAGCAAACAATTCTAACATTTTTCTGGGGATTAAAGTCTAGTTCACAATTTTATGGTTTGATATATGAGACTCCATGTTTTCTCATTTATGATAACATAAGAGTTCAAGCAAGGGGTGGTTAGAGGTGAACCACTGGGAAGAAGATCTGCTAATTTATTTTTTTGGTATTGCTTTTAAAAAGTCTTACTTAACCTGTATGTATCTATAGTAATATAGATCCAAGAACTAAGTCTTATGTTACATTTAACAGAATGAAAATCTATACTGAACACTAAAACTGGATGACTCTTTACCATACTTCCAAATATGAAACACTTTATTCATTCTGCCTCCAAATTCTACGCTCCAGAATCCAACCAATTCAGAGTGAGCTGTCCGAAGATGAATGGTTTTCTTAAGATTTTCCATGAACGCATTCATTTTTGAAGGTTTAAGGTAATAAGTACGAAATTCATAGAACGTTCCATCGTATTGTCTGGGGCCTGTAGCAAAAGATGAGCACACCTGAGGGAGATAAGACAGATGTAAATATCCTGGGAAGGTAGAATTACAGATTTGGTTACAACCAAATCTGAGTCTGGTACAAGGAACACACACACACTCATTATCCATTGTTTACTTTTGTTGTCAATTCTCCATATGTATTTGTTTACATAGAGATGTCAATAAAGATAACTACTCTTAATTCTGATGAATATATAGTGACTGTTTCCTAGCAGGGGTCTACCTCTAGCCATTTTTTCACGAGAATTTGCTTTATAAGAAGGCCGTGGGATCATAATGATACTCCTTTACCCAAGAAGTACATTTAAGACTTAGTCTCATTAATTTACAAAGGGTTTTCCCCTGTTTAGCCAATATTCCATCTTACTCAATACCATATGTATTAGTTACACATTGAAAAAAATTTATTAAGTACACATGCCTTTTGGCAGGTCCAAAAATATGTTTACTAATAACAACCTCTTTTTTTTAGGTTCCTAAAAAAACAGGAAGGCTATTCAGGTCAAAGTATTTCTTGAATCCACTGACGAAGACTACTGGTCAAAAACAGGACTGGACTGTAACTAATATAAAAGGAAGCTATGACTTATCCAATTGCATTGTACTATGGGCGTGTACTGCATAAAGAGTGAAAAGGAAAAAAACTCAACAAATCAGATTTGTCTGCATCATTGTTTCTAATTACAGATGCAATATCAAGAAGTATGCACATTTAGTGTACCCAATTATACCAAGTTTATGGAACTATCCTTTAAGACCACCCTTTGTAATAGTCATACACCAAATAGGTAAATTTTCTGTCCTATTCTGGCCCTCTGAGCCTGAGTGAACTTAATGTTCAGTAGCAAATGCCCTGTCAGAAATTATCCAGAGTCTGTGTGTATGTACATGCAAATATTTATGTAAACACACGTGGATACACAGACCACTCCCGTGGCATTCTAGTTTACAAATCCATTCATTTAGATATGGTTAGCATGTGACAACTTCCTGAGGCTCACTACCTAGAATAATGTATCACAACAGTTTCAGTAGGCATCTTTCACTGACATATTTTTGGTTACAACATACAAATGTCTATGTAGTTTGTGTGCACAACGTCTTAATTATAATTGTCTATCTTGAGTTCATTCATCTCCAGTATGAGTTATACCCTTATTGTCCAAGTGTCTTAGTTTTCTTGGAAAACCCTTCTTCACACCAAAAAATAACTGCAACTATCCTTTCTTTCGATGGCCATTCTTTTTGGGTCAATTTAATCAAATTCTGAAAATAAAAAACCGTTTAGTATCTACAGTTTAAAAATAATATAAAATATAAACATTTCAGAAAATGGGCCAATGAGGTATTTGAAACAACTGTTTTTAATTTTCAGAGTTTTGTATCTAGAGATGTTATCCTAAAAAAAGATATTAGAAAAAAGTTATCTACAAACATGTTGTGTTTACTTGGGAATGAGAAATGAGGATTATAGATGCAAATGTATGGGATAGAAAGCCATCAGTGCATCCAGTCAGGGAAAGGTAAAGGGAAGCTTTTATCAGCAAAAAGTGAGAGATTCACATAGGTTGCTTACAAACAGAGTTGACTGGTTCCAGAGACTCAAAGCCAGAGTTGTCAGTTCAGTGGTAGAGATGCTGTTACCAGGAAAGCAGTCTTTCAAGAACATCTTATCTGAATTACTGCAGTCCTAAAGAAGGCCTAATGATAAACTTTGTCAAAGCAGGAGATGGGTGTAGGATGTGAAAGGATTTCCTGTGGGGGTTTTGAAGTCCTTGGGCTGGGCGCTGTGGCTCACGCCTGTAATCCTAGCACTTTGGGAGGCCGAGGGTGGGGCAGATCACTTGAGGTCAGGAGTTCGAGACCAGCATGGCCAACATGGTGAAACCCCATCCCTACTAAAAACACAAAAATTAGCCGGGTGTTGTGGCGGGCTCCTGTAATCCCAGCGATTCTGAAAGCTGAGGCAGGAGAATCGCTTGAACCTGGGAAGTGGAGGTTGCAGTGGGCCGAGATCGCCTGGGTGACAGAAAAAGTCTCTGTCTCAAAAAATTAAAATTAAAATTAAAGTCCTTGGCAACAGCTCTTATCTCAGATATGTAAGCACGAACCTCCTCTCTTCCTGCTCTCCCAGTCTGTTCTGTCTGGATCTGACAAAAGTGATTTCATCTGGCTATCTGCAACTTTCACAGAAAATAGGTGGTCAAATGGACAGATTTTTATTCTCTTTCCCGGGAGAAATATATCATAGAGAAGCTCAGGAAAGGCTAACTGCAGGGAGAGAGGGATATGTGTGGGGCGGTGAGACTTTTCTTGCACAGCAAACTACCTACTGGAGGCAGAAATCATAAGTCTTCCATGCTCCCTTACCTCCAAGTTAGGGCTCATTCCCAGCACAATGACCTCCACTTCACTTAAAAAAGAACAACTGGCAGACATTTTAAAAAACTCAACCAAGTTCAGAATAATGCCATAAGGAAGTAATTCTTGGCCCTGTGCCACTAGAGAAAGAATATTTAGGGTAATGACTGCATTGTTAATCCGAGGTGAATTGACATTAGCTGCTGTTCTTTAGTGTTCCTCAGTCTGTCTCTAGGATAGGTTAACCCCCTTCCTATCCTGCCCCTTCAGAAAGGAGTAAAGTCCTAAACGTGAAAAGGAAAGACATTTCTGGTTTGGAGCCACAGAATAGGCCAATCTCGAAAGTTAGGGCAGAATCACAAGCTCCATTTTGTCCATTTCTCATCTAAGGTTAAAAGAGTCTGTCATCGTCCTGTTTGCTAGGAGGCTCGCGTCCCAGCCTGGCTGGGGGAGCGACCGCACGAAGAGCGGGTGGCGGGCAGGGTCCAGCCCCACCGGGACCCTGGGTCTTCTCTTCAAGGGTCTCCGCGAAATGCTCGAAGTTGTTTCATTCAAAAGGGGAAGGCCTGTTCCACTGCGAGCGGCTGGTTGGCCATTCCCTCCTTCAACCTGATGTTGAGAGAGGGGGGAGGCTTGGAAAGCCACAACTCCACCGGCGGATCGACAGCGCCAGGTGACAACATGGGAGCACTCCCTGGGCCGCAGCCACTTAGCTGGGTGCAGCCACTTAGCTTAGCTGGACTTAGCTGGGCGGCAAAAACGCAACAGCCAGCGCCACGGCGTGTCCGGGGGTTGTGGCATTTAGGCTAGAAAACAGCTGGCATCAGGCCGGACGCAGTGGCTCATGCCCGTAATCCCAGCACTTTGGGAGGTCGAGGCGGGCGGATCACGAGGTCAGGAGTTCGAGACCAGCCTGACCAACATGGCGAAACCCCGACTCTACTAAATACACAAAAATTAGTACGGCATGGTGGCACACGCCTGTAGTCCCAGCCACTGGGGGGGCTGAGACAGGAGAATCGCCAGAACCCGGGAGGCGGAGGTTGCAGTGAACCGAGATCGCGCCACTGCACTCCAGCCTGGGCAACACAGCGAGACTCCGTCTCAAAAACAAAAACAAAACACACAAAAACCCTGGCATCCAGCTAGAAAAGCCCTCTGACTGCGAATGCTGGCGGGACGATCCCTGCCTGCAGCCCCCTCCTTGCGCGCCACACGGCTCCGGAGACGGCGCTAGAACTTCCGCGTCGGCGCGCGGCCCCAGGTCTGGGAGCGCCTGCGCGTGGCTCGCACATGCGCGTGGCTTGCACGCTCCTGAAACACCCCCCCCCCCCGCGCCACCCCTCCCCTCGGGCAAGGGCTCGGGCGCGCTCCCGCGGCCAGTACCTGAGGCGCCAGTGTCCGTGAGGCAAGCGCCCTGGTCAGGCCGCTTCTGAGGACTAGCATGGCGTGGCTTCGGCGCTGAGAAAAGCAGCCAGCCGAATCCTTTGTGAGACTTCTCTGAAGACTTCCCGAGTGGAAAAAAGCGACTCCTGGACCACTGGCGGACGCAGGCAGGGGCGGGGCTCGGCTGGGTCAGCTCCACCCCGGCGCTGGAGGCGCGACAGGTCCAGTAGCTTGGCGTCTTTCTCTTCGGCGCTGAGCCTGGGTGCCTCTTGGTTTCCTGAAATGTTCTTGCCCCAGACGTTAGAGGTGACATTAGAATTAGCTGAAGGCTGGGATCGTTCCTGCTCCACCTTTCTGGGCTCTGACCTCGTTCGCTCCAATGCACAGTTGTGTAGATTCGTAAATGTGCGGGGTTTGTGCGTGTGTTGCCCCTGGAGAAGGAAGGGGAGGTGTGGAGCGTGTGCATGTGCAGTGCTCTGCATTTAAAGTCGAGATGTTGACAGGGTTAACTTGTTTGTTTGAGACGGAGTCTCGCTCTGTCACCCAGGCTGGAGTGCAGTGGCGCGATCTCGGCTCACTGCAACCTCCGCCTCCCGGGTTCACGCCATTCTCCTGCCTCAGCCTTCAGAGTAGCTGGAATTACAGGCGCATACCACCACGCCCGGCTAATTTTTCTATTTTTAGGAGAGACGGCGTTTCACCATGTTGGCCAGGCTGGTCTGGAACTCCCAACCTCAGGTGATGCGCTCGCCTCGGCCTCCCAAAGTGCTGGGATTACAAGCGTGAGCCACAAGGCCCGGCCCGTATTTTTAAATAATAGGCATTTTCTGCTATTTCTTGCATTTTCAGTTATGGATAGTATGTGCTGACTTCCTTCTGTGGCAGGTGAGGATTTATGTCTCATAGAAGCCACTGCCCCCAAATTCACTTTCTGGGGGAGTGGCTTCTATGAGACATACATCCTTATCTAATAATGCTTGCATTAGTTAATTTACAGTAATTGATTATATTAATTTCACAGAAATCTCCATTATGTTAATGTTTGCATTATTCTTTCTAATAATTACATTATTGCACACGTTAATGTAACATTCCCATCACGAGGACTAGGGAATTTTGTGGAAGGGCTTTGGAATCATCAGTTTGAAGGAAGGGAGGCTCTTTAAAATTAGCAATTCCAGAGGAGATGCCTTAATTTTTGCAGCTGAGGGATACCCATTTCTAACCAAATAAGACTAAACAAAATATATTTTGTGTCAGTACTAGATCTATATGATTTATTTTCTTGGACTTCTTTTATTTTTCTTTGAGGCGGAGTCTCAGTCTGTCGCTCAGGCTGCAGTGCAATGGCATGATCTCGGCTCACTGCAACCTTCGCTTCTCAGGTTCAAGCAATTCTCTTGCCTCAGCCTCCCAAGTAGCTGGGATTACAAGTGCACGCCATCATCCTGGCTAATTTTTTGTACTTTTAGTAGAGACAGAGTTTCACCATGTTGGCTAAGCTGGTAGTGAATGCCTGACCTCAAGTGATCTGCCTGCCTCCCAAAGTGCTAGGATTTATAGGCGTGAGCCACACTGCGCCCACCTATTTTCTTGGACTTTTTAAACCCTGGAATTAATGCATTCACTCATTTAAACAGCATTTACCAAATTCCTTCTATGCTCTTTTCCTGAAACGGGGGTACAGAACTGAACAAGACAAAGTTCCTGTTCTCTTGGAATGTACAGGTTGGGGGAAGGAGATGAATAAATGAAGAGAAAATAGATCAGTGATTAATAAATAGTATGAAGTAAAGTACAGTAAGATATGGAGAACAGAAAGTGGTGGAAAGAAGTAGCACAGACTCCTGGCTGTTTCTCAATATCTACTCTCCCCTAGCCCAACCCCTGCCCTTTTTAAAAATTAATAATAGAATCTTTGCAGTTTGTTGTGGCCCCCGCACTAAATCCTGGACAGTGGAAAAATGTCGGCACATTAATGACCTGTAAATGACCTTAAAGGAGTGCTGGAGGGGTTGTTACCTTGTTTCTAATTTCTGCTTGCTGGAATGTGGATGTAATACCTTGAGTTCTTGGACTATGAGGTAGAAGGCTTATGTTGATGATGGTGGAACAAAGAGAAGTAGCCTTGGTTTCTGACACCATGGAACACCACACTAGGAACCCTGGGCTGCCCTTCCCTGGACTTCTTTTACATGTGAAATCGCCTTCTAGTTTAAGCCACTGTTATATGGCTTAAACCTACAATTTTAGTCAACACAAGGGTGAATATTTCTTCTCTCTCACTCTCACTTGTTTATAGTTTTTCTTTTAGCTATCATTTACTAACTACCAAATTATTTGCCAGAAGTGTAAATTTTCTCTGTGATTAAACCTGTTAATCAGTTTCAGTTTCTTCTTTTGGAGTTAATCTTTCCAAAGTCCTAATTCTCTTGCTTCAGTGTGGACTGGTTCTCTAAGATGTCATGGCCGTAATTCTGGGATCTCCTTTTACTGATATGCTGGGGAATCTCATTCACCTCTTGTTGGATCCTATTTCAGGATGTTAAAGCTTTTTTTTTTTTCTCCCAGATTTTAGCAGAGGGTATTGAAGCTTGTATCTCTAATGCCTCTATCCTGCTAACCCTCTTGATTCTCAGTTTGGATGGGTATAAAATTCTATGTTGGAAATATTTTTTTCTCATTTTTTTTAAGGCAATGGTCCACTATATTATAGTTTCTAGTGAAAAATTCATACCATTCTGAGTGCTGATAGTTTGTATGTGACTTGTTTTTTACTCTCATTGGAAGCTTTTGTGTTTTTGTCTATGTCCTTGGTATTCTGAAATTTCAGAATGATGTGCCTTGGAGAAGGTGTTTCCATCTATTGTGCCTCATTCAGTAGACATATGGACACTCCTCAGTATTGAAAAATATATTGTACTTATTGGATTTTTTTCTTCCTGGGTTGATCTCAACTTATGTTGTTCAAACATGTGCCTCCACTTGATTCTCTAATTTTCTACTTTTTTTTTCTGTTTTCTGTCTAGTTTTTTGGAGGAAAATACCAGTTTTATCGTATAACTATTGAAATTTTAAATTTCAACTTTCACTGCAT